GTGGAAGAATAAACTTAATGTTTAGACAGGGAAATTCAACAAACTCAATGACAAGCCAAGCGTTGCTTACAGCGTGTTGTGAGATACAATCTTGTTCGGCAGATCTCTGCAGGTGACGCTTGCCTCTTTTTATAGCAGCAACATAAAAAGTTTTAAATTCTTTTTCACCTTATGAGAAAAATTCATTTGAGGCCATTCATTTCTGTCATAATTCAATATGCATGCAGCTGAGGAGGCCAGTGCTCTCAGTCGGTCAATGCTGAAGCAAACTTGTTACTGGAGGTAGACAGATGAGATACGCCAACCTGAAGTATCCGTCAATGTAACATTGGCTTTATGACCATGGGGTTAAAGTCAAACCTCGCCAATATATCTTCCCACAAAAATGCTTTGGCAGCAGCAATAGCATGCAATTTTACTCGCCTCCTATGAAAAAAGAATGAGCTCTGAATACAAAGTGGCTGCACCGCCATTAACCGGACTATGAAACAGGAACCACTATTAATCATTTTCACCGACGCTGTAGAAGGCAGTAATTTGCTCATTCGGTAACACAGATATGAAATAGAAGGTTGAGGAAAGGGGAGAGGCACAGTAATGTGTTGAAGCTAAGGTGGGATGCATGTAGGTGAGCAGGACTTGGCACCGGCTTTGGACAAGGCTTGGCATGTTAAAATATTAATGTTTGGGCTTGTGAATATTCATGGGCGGCTGTCCCCATCATGAGATTGTGGAGGACAGAGCAACGTCACTAGAAGTAATCCGATTCCATGCATCCCTGTTTCACTCTCAAGCTCTCAAGGACAAGGTGCTCTGGGCAGACGGGTAGTTTTGACCTCGAGGCCTCGCCTGCCTGAGGCCAATGACAAAGGCTGGGGTGGGGCTGATTGGGCCTCCACACAACAGCTGTGGGTGACATCTTCCCATGCCACATATCCTCGGTGACACATGCAAGTTGCAGAAGGTTCAACAGTTGTTTGTGATATTTAGTTTAGTTAATAGATCCATTATTGTGTTAAATACAATGGGAACTTCTTATCTGCTGGAAAACATTCATGCATAAAGGAGGCAAGGGGGAGGGAAGTCTTCTTAAGCATAATCACACACATGCCCCCTCCTTCTGCATGTGTGTCTGTTTTCTAAAAGTAACCAAGCAACCAGTGCTTGGGCAGGGCCTTCGCTTTAAGGCTTATCAGGTAACTACTCCGATCCAAAGTGAAAATGGTTTCACTCTTGACCTAAACAGTCCTGGAAAAGAGACCAGGCATTCCAGACTGGGCTATCGACAGCAACAATGTGTTTTCTGGGTGAGTTTATGGAAGACATATTTCAAGAGACAAATTAGTTTTTACTTGTCAGGAAAGTACTGACATGGCAGAGCTTTGTGAGAAACGCTCTTCAGTTGGTGCATCTGCACAGCTCACCACCAGCTTGCAGCTACATTTGCGGCTCGAATGGGCCGTTTACCTGTCCCACAGCGACTGTAACATTTCACATGTATGGGAGAGAGGTTAAGTTGGTAATGAAGTGTGTCCAATACTGCAATGCTGGAAAAATATTAGGCATTCTGGTTATGCTCATAATGCAGGCAAAAGTGTCCAAATCTCTCTTTTTTTACCCATGTGTGACCAATATGTGATTTTTTAAAATAGTGTCTTAACAGCTCAAATGTGACCTTTTCAAATCTGACCATGGCTCCTCTCACATGTGGTCCTAAAACAGATACATTTGGTACATGCACAGCTTGTATCAATGTTGTATCCTTTAGCTTTTTGTCACCAGGATTAGGGTTAGTTTTTGCCAATGTGCTTGGTTGTTGGAAAAGCAGCGGCTCATTTCAGAGAAGTTCAACAACCAAGCGTATAACGACAGAAAGATGTAAAACTTTTTCATCTCTAAGCGGTCTTCTATACACACTTTCCTTTAAGAAACCCGGATCAGCAGCAATTTTTCAAAACAAGAACAAATATGGCGTCTCCATTAATACAACAAACAATGACTGATGAGTGCGTTTATTTTACATCAGTGCTTTTATTTAATACCTCAGATAAGAATTTTAAACTGCGAGCAGAGATTATGTGGTCTTTATACTCTTTATAAAAAAAGAGACAAATCTTTATATACTCATAAAAAATAAAATACAGAAATGGCCTTATTGTCCCTACTAGGAATTTCATTCTTTTATCATGATTTGATATAAATTAAGTACATCAAACAATAAGTAGGGCAAAGAATCTGGAGCAGAAATACCCAACTCGCTACATTGTTGTAAAAGAAAGGTTTGTATAGTATTGTGTATTCCTAAGTTAAAAGAATGCCATGAGTCTGGCAGCTACTGTTCTTGTCTGCCGAAGTGGAACAGCACTCAAATAACAAGACCATGGTGGCATTTAGATGGTAATGAGCCCAAACTAGTGTACGCAACAATGTGAATCATGAGACAAGAGACAGTAAACAACACACTGTGTAAGCCTTATCTTACAAACAACACCAAATTTGACATGGGACTGGCGCCGAGATCCTAAACAGACCACTGAATCAGCCTGACCGCAGCTCTACGGCATCCCATCAAATGCATGAAAATATTTTAATAACTTCCTTCTAATGAGCCAGTAGACAGCACCAGCGCTAAAGTTTTGCCACAATTCAAAGTGGGAGGAGCGAGCTTGTAGTTTCAGTCTAAATTCCAGCTCCCAAAAGACACACCCTGGCTCATCCACCAAATTAAAACAAAAACAACAGTGACAACCTAATTCTACCAAGAATTTGGAAATGCTTTGCAATAATGATAGCCTGTTGTTTTAAGGAAGATGTAAAAAAACATGTCCATATGATAAATTATGTTATGCAAAATTGCTTAATCTACTAAACAGCCAAAAAGACATGTCTCAATATTAAATTTGAAAATGTGGCTTAGCTCTTACAGATTCATAGCCACACGATAAACATCTACATTTCACGGTTTAATCATCCAGCGAGACTTGCAACAAATGTAATTAGAGGTTTCATAGGCTATACTGCTAATAAGCAGTGTCAACAACAAACAAAACATTTCGTCAGTGTCTTAGACTTAGCTTTTAATAAATCTTCCATTAAAATATTTAAATGTGTGAGAGCAAGACCAGTATAAGAAGAAAAAAAACTGTCAACACAGAAGGCATGTATTTAAGTGGATGTGATAGAGAGGATTTCAGACATGGGGAAGTGGATGAGGGGGGGTTCAAACTGCAGGCAGATGGTAGACAAAAAGCCAGCACTTTGAAGTCCTGCATCCACAGGTTTAAAAGCGGATAAAGCTATTGTGTGAACCACCACATGATAAACCAAAGGAAAATCACACTGAGGTACAGCTTTCTGGTATTCAACCCTCCCTAAAATGTATCTTTCTTACCATTTCTCTAGATAAAACTTAGAATTCCGTACATTTAAATCAGACAATCAGATTACAACAATAAAGAATCAAACAACTGAGACATATTCATAGAAACGCATGAAAATGTCGTAAACGTGCTAAAATGGAACATGTACATTTTTAATTTCCTCATATTTCTGTTCTTACGGACACTGATACCAAATATTAAGAAAAATAATCTCTTCATGCAGAAAAAAATGAAAAACAACTTTATAAAAGTTTTCTTATTTCGATTAAACCCCCCTCAGGCAGCTTTGTTCTGGTGTGTTCACAAACTAAACAGACCGTGGGTCGGAGTTCCTCCCTGTTGAGCCTTTTCCATAAAGTGCTTTAAAATGTCGAAAGGTTAATCACTAACCCTATTTATTGACCATTAAGATGAAGAAATGATTAAATGACCTAAGGTTGAGCACATTTCTAACTCAACAGTTGAAACACATGCTCAACAGCTCGAAGACACCTAACTGACCAGAACACGGGACTTCTCGTGGCCGTTTAACTGAAAAAAAGGGGAAAAAACGCTCATATCAAACTAGCTCCGCGTCGACTGGTGCTGATAAACTTACCTGCCAAAAGACCAAAAAGCAAGAAAAAAAGCCGGGTTGTCGAAAGCTCCATTTCTGGCTGACCTAATCCTCCACTTTCTGAGAGAAACTTGATCGAGGAACTTGCGCTGGAGTCGAGTGGAAATCGGTCGCCTTGCTCAGCTCCACCGAAGCATCCAAACTCCACTCCTCCTCCTCCGCCCTCGGTGCAGGTGCACAGCCGGAGCGCGCCGCAGGGTGTCACGTGACCGCGTGCCTGGAAGTTCAATTGACTTGATGACGCCATCTGCCGGCGCCAACCCGGACGTTCACCACTAATTGTAAAGGCCACAAAGGCATAGACATACAGTATATACGTAGACGCCGCGTTGAGCCTGTTGGTCCGTTGCAGCGAGACGTCAACGAGTCCGCCATCTTGGATGTGGCTGAACTGCCCGTAAACTAATCAAATAAAACGGACTGAACTCCATAAAGCGCCTTTCTATAAAGTGCTTTAAGTTAATGCAACTTATTCACCCATTCACACTGACAATAATATATCTGGGAAATAAATAGGCACAAAAAAGTGCGGAACTTTTAAAGTGATGATTATACACTTTTACTCCAGATGTTTAGGATATAAGGAAGCACCAAACCAGCGTCTGTACTTTTAATACTGAGTGTTTTCAGCTACTTAAGCCTGTATTTCTGTTACTGTAGTATAAATACTGAAATATTGAAATTTAACATGTAATGTGTCCATATTGAGCAGATCTTGAAAAGTAGATGTGCTTTTCTTGATAAAGAGCAAAAACATTTACATTTAACTGATTTAGATTAATCGTTTTTAAATTCACAATTATAGTATGTACATTAAATATCGCCAATATGTTTGCATATACGTTTCTATAGCCTGATTTTCCAGTCTGTCTAATGTGTTCATCCATGTATGTATGTATGTACTGTAGGCTATGTCTGTCTGTCTGTCTATATACATATACATATATATATATATATACACACATATATGTATATAGATAGAGAGAGAGAGAGACAGACAATAATATTTTGTTGCATTGTAAATAACCTTTATTTATTCCTCCACTGTGTTTTTCCCCACTTTTTTCTGCTGTAATGTGTAAATTTACCCACAGTTGGATCAATCAAGTATTCTATTCTATAATTATGTAATTTAGCTTTAAATATACATGGTTATAATATCTAAACAAATCACTTTGACACATTGAAACGGAACTTTGAAAAATGTGCAAGCTTCTATTAGCCATTTTGTATTAAATGTACAAAGACAAGTGCTCGCCAAAGTTTAAAAACTAAACATCTAAACTTTATCAAGAGAACTATAAAAACCAATGCACTTCGGGAGAGTAAAATAATTTAATTAGATACAAATTTTGTTAAGCATAATAGTCCACCTCTGAGGTAACAATAATGAATTTCTAATATTAATTTAATTTTGATGCACAAACCCCCCCCCCCCCCCCCCCAACACTACAAAATAAAAACACAAGTAATAAATACAGGCCATCTTCAATACTAAGGAGACAGCCACAGGATGAACTGGAAGGCTATGCATTGTTCAAAAACACTCCTTAACTTTTAGCCTATATCTCTGTCAATTCTATGCTGTATAAATAAAACATTTGATCACAAAGAACATCAAGTGGTGTAGACTAATCTCTCCTGTAGTAAAAAGTACAGTACATCAAGATTACAAGTGTAGTATTTCAATAACTAAATTCATACGAGTGATTTTTTCAAACTAACAAAAATCTCTAAAGTGCAAAAAAGTCTGTCAAATACAACATTTAAGTTATAAAAATTCAATTAAAAAAAGAAAAGAAATAGGTCAGTCCAGTGAAGAAAAAGCACCGTATTGCCTAACTGTAACAGTGTGCCAGATTCTGGTTTGTTTCCCAGTAGTTGGGTCTTCCCTTATAGACAGGAGGGATCCAAAGGTTATGCCTGGAGGGGTGGGGGGCTCTGCTGCGAGGCTTGTAGCCGTAGTGGGGTTGCTGGAGGAGACCTTTGCCTGGTACCAGCTTTTTCGGATGCCACAAAGGAGCGGCTGGATTCATTTGCTTAAAAGAACAAGTAAAATATAAAATATACATTAAAACATCATAATATTCATCTCTTGAAATAAATAAAATGATCTGTATATGTATGACAAAACACACAATTAATTAGAGTACTTTATATACACCGAAGAGAAATCATACTTCAGCCTTTAGTACCTGGTGGCTCCAGCGGCTGTAAGGGACGGTAAGGGGGGAAGAACGTGTGCTTTCCTCATCAGAGGAAGATCCTGAGTGGTAGTCGGAGGTCACCCTCTCCAGCGCACTGGTAACTTTCTTTGCAACTTCTTTGTCATCCTCGTCGTCACTTGAGAAGGTGGCAACTGAGAAGCAGGGATTTTGCTCTCCATACCTGAGGAGGTGGGGAAAATGGCTTTTGAGAGGTCACACACCAAGTGGCCACAGGGATGCCATCAAAGGCCCAGATAAATGTTAAATGACCCTAAAACACAACAGCGTCAAGTCTAAACCATGCCAAAAGCACATCATTTAGAGGTTAGAAGGGCGCATAAAACAAGCCTCACCTGCAGCAAACCTCTCCAGGGTCCACCCACAATGTGAGCTCCCGAGGCAGTCGCAGGTCACCATACTGTACCCCGCTTTCCCGGCAGGCCCGAAGGAGCTCCGGATCCTGCCCATAGAATCTGTTCACTCGGATGCACCTTAAAAGCAAACACAACCTTCAGCTTGTGCCACTCAAAACTGGCGCATACTAAAATAAGCGCTGCATAGGCCAAGGAGCAGCACCTGTACGCCTGCCCCTTGCTGGGGTTCTCGGGGTACCAGTGCCCCTTAAACTTCTCCTGTAGTGCCACGGCCAGCCTCTCCACAAACAGCTCAGTCTTGTGCGAATCCATCCTCTCTCCTTTCTTCACAAGCCTCTTCAAGAAGAATACCACCGCTGCGATCTCCCTCCTCATATTTCACAGGTGTTTCATAACGTCCACACAGCCTCTGAAATGACGCTTTCTTTAGTCAGATGCTACACACTTTAAAAGCAAAGGTTTATGATACTTTATATTCAACATCTCATCCGAATTCCATTTAGACGCCAGAATATGGAATAGCTGTAATGTTAATTGAAACTACAGGACGACCTTTTTGCTTTTAGAAAAATATCAAATTAAAAAGAGTTTCGAAAGAAAACATTTCTAAGCTCCATGGAAACTAATGAGTGTCTATGCACGTGGCATGGCCTTCTGTTTAAAAATAATCGACCTGTAAAAGGTTAATCATGAATACCTTTTTGCCATAAAGCTATTTAAGGAGATGGTTAGTGGCACTCTGATCACAGTTAACGGTCTGGTGATTATAAAGCCAGAAACGCGGGCTATGACGCAGGAGGTCCGTTTGTTCTCGCTCCATAACAAGGGCTACTGACTTGAAGTTAGCTTAGGAGGCTAACGCATTAGCTAAAAACTATTTGACCAAGCCCAAATTTATTTAAAAAAATCTTAGCTCAAGTTAGAAATGAAGTATCTTCACCGGTAACCCAAGTTGTTCAGTGTATGTAATTACATCGAAAGAAAAATCAAACATAGAAGCCATACAGTCAATATGCTAGGTTAATGCTAATAGCGTCATGCTGCTAACATTTCCAATAATGATGCTTTATATATCTAAAGTATGACATTAAATAAGGATAAAAATGATATTTTAGATAATTTTTATCCCTATAAAATTAGAGAAAAGGTCATCCTTGCCGTGCTTACCCCTTTTCAAAACGTGCCACAACGCGTGGGCTGAAATTGAATTACTAGAAGTTGGCAACAGAAAATCATTTGCCCCTCTTGTTAATGACTCCGCCTGTTACGAAATAAACCCTGCCCATTAAAGGTTTTCATTGGTTCATGACAGCCAATCTGGACATTCATTGGTCAGTGTGTGTGCCAGTCGTAGAATGAGTCACATTTCGGTTGTTATGACTCATGCTGTGAAGAATATGTACTCTGTTTCTCAGTGATTGCATCTCCGGATGAAACTTATCCTAAACAGAACCATACTTTATTCCTAAGAGGAAATGTAAATTCCCATTTTTCTCAGAATTTAAGTATCTAAAATTACTATATATATGAAGAAATACATAAAACTAATACTGACAAAATACAAAATAAACTAAAAAAATAGACTTTGATCAAATCAAAACTTTGGAAGACAATGTTATGTCACAGGAAAGTAGAAAGTAGAACAATATTTTTACTTATCACAAACCATAATTTTCGTGTATGACTTTCAGAGAGTGAGTTAAGTCATATATAATCACAGAAGTGGAAGTATACTTCCTGTAAATGACACGATTATAATAACTTGAACAATTTGAAGCCATTCTCTCCACGAGGTGGCGCCCTGGATCCATCTGTAGTTAGTAAAAAGTATAAGGCTCAAGCTTTAGGACATAACTCTGTACAAGTAAAACAGACAAAAGATAAAAACAATTTCACTTTATTTAAAAAAAGAAACGAAAAAGAAAAGTCACTTAAGCACAGATCACACCATCAGTATAAGGTCCAGTAAACACACAATAAATATAGCACGCAACAACACATACACAGTCATGTTCAAAAGTAGAAACAAAGAGCCAGAACACAGATGCTTAGATCGTCAGTAAAACGATATTGTTACCACAGAAATCAGACAACCTGCTCTTTGTGCTGAGCCTGGGGACAGCTCTCCTAAGGTTTCAAAAGCAAAAAAAAAAAGAGAGAAAAACAGCATTCATAATTCAAACAATCACAAAAGAAATGTTCAACTGATTATTGGTTGACTGAAAATTCACAAACGCACATGCCCACTTGTCTAAAAATAAAAACATCATAGCAGTTTAAAATGGAGCCAAAACCTCTTTAAACCCAAAAAAGGGTTATATATCTAATCTCTTACAAAGAGAGTGCAAAATACATCTACAGTGCCACTTTTCAACACATTACACCACATGTAATTGGCCTCATCCATCTTCTGCTTATAATACTCCAGCTCTGTGATCTCTGAGGAAAACTCAGATAACCAATAAAGCTTCTGATTTATAAGTCTGCATCTTGCATAGGGTTCATTCGTCTTTCTTTGTCTCCCTTTGTTAAAACAAAACAAAAATCAGGGACTTCCTGAGGCACAGAAGACCAGGCGCCCTGTTTGTATTGCTGTGACATCAAATTAGCTCTCGCATATGAAAACAGCAGAGGGGGCAACAGAAGTAAACACTGATCAGGAAAGATAAAGAAGATGAGCCATAAAACAGACACTTGAAAACAAATAGTCTCTGTAGTGCCTTCAGAGCAGAATTAGGTCACGTATAAGCCACGCACATTTGAAATCTGTTGGATATTGCATCGTAAAAACCATCTGCTAAGACCGAATGCTCGTGGTTCACATATAAAAACAGACAAAACGTACAAACTTTGGTTTTAAAGCTATTTTTCCCTCTACTGACAGCACTAATTCAGTGTGCAGTGATCAATTCAAACCATAAAAGCTCAATTAAAAAATAAAAACACACTTTAAGTCACCGAGGGTGCAATGTTTGCTCGTGTTGCAGCACATTTCTGAACACTACAGCAATCAAACCCCACAAACAGATATATGACCATAAAGGATGAAAAGCTTCAGGTTATGCATCATTTCACTCCCCAAATCCGTTTATTAGTCCTTTTTGAGTTATTTATGGGTTCTTTCAGATATCCTGAGGCCCCATTTTGTGCTTTTCCTTCACATTATGACTTGATACTAACTTATATTATGACTATAATGTTGCATAAAATATGCCTTGTACTTTTAATGACCTCTTTTTTCACAAACTATTTGGGATAATCAGAGCAGTTTAGGGCCACCTACAGCCTTCTAATTGAAACCATTACATTGAATGTGCAGCATAATAAAGCTTGAACCCCATTTCACAACTACGAAGGACTCGATTCATTTTACGCCCTCATAAAAACAATGTTATCTCTCTCTACAGATCAGATGAGATGTGAGGAGTGTTGACAACTGATGAAAGTCATACTTTGAAAAAAATTACCCAATCAGAAAAAAGTAAAACTGTAAAACAAAACAATAAAAAACAGAAATGCTTGAGATAAAACCAAGAGTGTATAGATAAGTAAAAATGTCGAAACCTTTTTTTTTTTTTGTTGACTAAATTAAAAAATTTTCCTCAAGAAAAATAAGGGATCTTGTCTTTTCAGCACAGAACATAACTTCCAGGAGTTGGACCTCTGTGCTTCGTCTACTCAAAGTGCATCCTAGCTCCTTGGGTTCAGTGGAATTCAGGCCATGTGCCAACCCGCTGTTTATTTGCAAACCAACATTAATTGTTGCATCATCACTGCGATCATGAACGCAGAGCCGCTGTCAGCCCAGCCTTTAATGCTGCTCTAATAACGAGCTGACAACCCAATGTCACTTTAGTGTCGTAGAAGTCACTCAGAATCCAGGTTTTGTTCCAGGATCACTGAAATATTTCACTTCCAGATGCAGACACACCCCAATCCCCGCCTCGCCTGCCGCTCTCCTGTAGCTCCTTATTCGACAGGGCCGCCGCCGCCGCCGCCACTGGTGGCCTTCAGCCCCGCTCTGCTGATGTGCAGCCAGGGTAGTTTGGCACAGTTCTTGAAGAGCTGCTCGATGGCGATGTGACGCACATGCAGCTCTGACGCCAAAGAGTCCTTCTCCTGCACGGCGGCCGTCAGCTCCTCGAAAATGTCTGAGTAAAAGAGACGGCAGTGGAATACCGATATCAGCCCTTTTACTCTCAAACAAGGTCTGTGCACTCAAACAAAAAGCAGGGAGAAAGGGACGAGATAAAGAAAATCAATTGTAGCGATCTATGAAAGAGCAGTGAGCAAACAGCATGAATTACTGAAGGCCGGAGTAATACAGCTGAGACTCCTTTCAAAGGTGTGCTCAGTAGCAATTTGAACAAGATAACAGAGGACATGTGCCCTACTAACATATTCAATAGGCGCATGAGCCTACTTGTTTGGGATGAGCATTAAAAGCATGAAATTAGACTCCCACAATTTAAAAAAACGTATATCGTGTTCCCCAACTCTCACACTGATGGTCTCCATTAGGAAGGATGAAGGACTGATGCATTGTACCAAAGTCAGGTTGGGGCTGTGATACATCAGGCGCTCAATATGTCTACCAAACCTCGAGTTTAAAAGCTGACACGTCGGGAAAGAAATCCTTTGTAAACACAGAGGGAAGTTCTGTGATCAGGGCATTTGGTGCTGTAAGGAACACTAAAGGACTTCAGGTTTACAATAACCTGCTCTTTAATCTTTTTACATGTTCTTTTTTAATGTTATTGTCTCACAGTAAAAGGCGTAGAGCTAAAAAAGTGTCCTGGTTCTGACAAACAGTTTAGCCAGCCCACAACAGACTACACATCAGTGGTCAGAGTCTACTTCTATCAAATAAACAGATTAATGCATAGATGTTTGGATAGAAAGGAAAGATTTTCCTAGTTCCCGTTAACATGTATATTTACTAATCGATTAATTCAACCAAAAAAATAAAGAAAACCTCATTGTATCAAACATAGTTGAAAAAACTGTTTAGAAATGTATGGCAGAGAAGGTTAACATATCAGCAGAAATATCAGTTTAATCAGAGAGAGCAAAAAAAAAACACTTACTTTGAACCTGCTTCAGCAGCTGGCCGTTCAGCTGATGGAGCTCATCCACGCTCATTTTAGTCACTAAAAGAAAAAAAGTGGTGCTTTTACTAAAGTGTGAGACATGCAAACAAAAGGAAAACATGTGGGAGATTTGTGTCACAGCACAGCACCATGATGAACGTGTGCCTTTTAAGTGGGACAGTGCTGCTCCCTGGATCAACCCTTATATCAAACACAAAGAACTGGAAATCATTGTAACTTTTCATTTAAAAAGCACTGATTTCTTTTTGACAAAAGTCTTTTCTCATATTCCTGCATTTTCATCACCCCGGGCAGCTTTAGTGGCGACAATATAGGACACAGCCAAGAACAACTTTTATCACAAGGTTATAGGAAAATAAACCAATCCCTGGAGAGACGTTGAAGAGAGAGGACAGGGGGAGAAAATAACTTTGAACAAACTATGAGGAAAGAGATACAGAGAAGAACTTAACATTTCGGTTGTCAGATGTCTTATCTTAGCAAAACTTAGCAAATCTTAGCCAAGTAAATAAGATCAAAAGATGAAGAACTCAGAGGTGTGATGCAACATAAATGTGCTCACGTTCATCTCTGGTGTGGCCCTGGTGTCCCCGCTGCGTGGGTCCTCCTGATGGACGGCTCCTGCTGTGCAGAACTGTCCTTCCATCACTCCAAACGTGTGGCTGAGACCCAGGCAGCAGTTCCAGCTCCTCTGCTGTGTGACACTCCAGCATGCCCACTGTGTACTCAGGAAGCCCTGCTGCTCTGCCCCTGTCCCAGCAGGGAGTGTAGCGGGGGACCTGGGCATCAGACTGGGGTACCAGCTTGCGGTCACTCTGCTGGCTGTAACAAAGAAGCTTGGCCCCGCGTCTGGTGCAGCCGTTGGAGGAGACAGGGTCTTTGTTCTGGGCAAACTGAATGATGCGGTTCAGCTTCTGGCTGAGCGCCAGCTTCATGCCCTCGTAGGCACTCCGCGAGACCTTAGAGTGGGACAGCTTCTGGTTGGCGATGAGGTGACATTTCTCAAAGCAGTCTCTGTGGCCACGCAGCGACTTAGAGTGCAACAAGGTGGCAGTGGAGACACCTATTCACACAGAGGGAAATCAATGAGTCAACGCGAGAACTACAGGAAACTGCTGAGCCCAAACAGTTAAGAGCACTTAGACACAGAGCACCAACAGATGTGATAGATGAGGACTGTGACAGATGAGGTTCCAAACAAAGAAAAGAAAACAAAAGCAGATTGAGAGACATGAAGCACCCACTTAAAGAACTCACCACATCAAATAAAAGTAAACCAGTCTGAATGCAGGCTAAAAACTGGAGACTGACCTATTGCAATCAGTCTGTGAAAGCAGCTTAGTGTGCTGTGGATTAGCCAGCAGAGCGTTGAGAAGCAGGGATAATAGATAAACCCTGCTGCAATGCAAATATAAGCATCTTTAGAAAAAGTTTCGGAGCATCAGGAGAGCAGGGCACCTTCTGTCGGCACAAAGCCGTTCATTTGCATCATTAATGTAAATATGTGAAAACAATGTTTAAAGATTTCCCACAGGAAGTCTGAGCCTATCCTGACTTTAGAAAAATGAAGCATCCCACCTTTGGAAAACAAACATTTTCAGAGTTCAGAGTCAGATTCTTCAAAAGTACAGGAGCTCCGATCGGTTCTCCGTCCGGATGGCCCGCAAGAAACTGTTTCTTTTGTAGAGACATAGCAGCTGGCTGTATGGTTTGTTGTCTTCTTTTCTTTCTCTCTCTGCCTAAAGGATCTTTCTCCATTTCGGGTCTGTGTTCCTTTTTTATTCTTTCTTCCTTGTCCCTCTGTCTGGTCCGGTATTATTCGATACATGTAAAGTTTTGCAACAAAAATAAATAAATAAAGCAGCATTGGATAATCAAGGGGGGCATTTCAAAAATAAAGCCTTCCTTGGAAAAGCAAATAGGTTTGGCATTGCACAGTACTCAGACTTCAGTTCTGCTGCCATAATGCTGAACAGGAAAATGACATTTTTTTTATAAATGAATAAATTACCTTTTCTTTTTCTTTTAAATTCCTCAAAAGTGACTTAGTTAGGTCTGCTGTTAGTGAACAGTTAAGCATATGACTAAGAAAGCAAACCAGCTCTAAAACAAGCACAGTGAAATGTGCCGAACAAAAGGAAGCTGAAGGTGAAGCAGGAGTGAAAACCATGCTGTGTTTGACACAAAGGCCCGTGTGGCTGCTTCTTCTCATGGCCCACATTTCTCAGAAGACAGACGTAGGTGTTAGAGCCTAATGTGAGGAGCTCAGCCACCTGTGTTTATTTAGATTTAGCTGCTCTGCAGGTTTACCTCTCAAACGCCCCCGTGCTCATTACCATCTCCACAGCAGGATGACAACAAACAGGCCCCCCTGTTAGCGGGACAGGGCCTTTCTCTAAGTTAGGGAAAGAGCCGCACATGCTCACTACAGAACAGCAGATTTTAGCTGGTTGACCGCAGCCAATACGGGTTCCTGGCTTCAGAAATGGCCTTTTGGTGAAGAAAAAAAATCTAATAAAATAAAGAACGTGCTGCTTCCTACAAACACTACTTGAGAAAAGTTGTGTGAAAGGTTGTGTGAAATCCACTTTGTGTGTGGTTCTAAAGTAAATCCGGAGTAATGATGTGCTTTTCTGGTGTCACCATTTGCTTGGTTGTCTAAAATCTGTCCACATGGTGGTGTATTTGTTAAGACGGTGAAGTCGGTGGATTATTTCTTTTTTATTTTATCTTCAAAGCTTCACTTTTAAAAGCTTGTGGTGGTCCTTATTTAATGTGGGCCAGTCGCCATTAATGGCTCTTAATGCCTCAGCACACAGGATGGTTTTGCTCCGAGCGGCAATCTATTTTTAGCTTTTGTATATTTGTGCATGAGCCCAAAATGCCTTGAAAGACTGATTTTTATTGTGGATTAGCCTACTGCACATTATCCAACTGGGGTCGTTTCCATGAAGCCTAATAAATGGTCAGTGAATCTTCCTGCCAGTCAAACAGCCATGTTTTAATCTGATCAGTCACCGTCTTTAGGCTACCATATAAGCACACTAACCACCAATAGCCTAGCAGAAATATCATTGGAGCACAACCAGGGCAGAGAACCAGCCAAAGACCTCACTAAAGCTAAGCAGCTTAGCACCACTGCACACAGACGTCCAGGACTGCTCAGCAGAGGTGAATCCACATTGTTCAGCTGTGACCACCGGGGAATAATTACAGCTTTTTGACTGCTCTTACATTAAGAACAAGTCCAGTTGACTGAAAATACTTATCATAGCTGTCCAGCTGTCCCTGGGCAGAGACCAGTTAAGATAACCTGCATGCTTTTGGACGGTTGGAGGAGACAGAAACATCTGGACTGAATCCATGCATCCACTGTGCGGCCCGAGGCACAAAACAAGCACTCAGGTGTTCCTCTAATTTAGGAACATCATTGTATTGATCTAAAAATCGATCCAGTAGGAATATAAGTGGTGAGACTTTAAAAATAAATATTAGACAACCCTGGTGAAGCTTTAAAAAATCCTTTTAATCCTCGATTTATTCAGATGAACTGAAACATTTAAAAGGAAGTCTTAAAGTTACCAGAAATACAAAGTTTTTTCAAAAGAACTTTTAGAGTCAACTGGGTTAAACATCAAATCAAAAATCTCCAGCAGATTTAACTAAACAACTGACAGGTGTCATTCAGATCAGAGTGCAATAGGCAAGGTAAAACATGTCTTTATTATCTGCAATGACCATGTGCTGACACGCTGTTTTGATCTGTCAGGATTCAGGGGAAGGACACTGGATCCCTGACACAGTTCTGAGCTGGTGTGGAGTGGACAAGTGGGACAGAGGTTATCAGTTGTGGTAAACAGAGCTCAGCAGAGTGTCAACAGCTGCACAGGCTGACTTGGATACCAACACAGAGCTCACATGAACAACTGTGAACTTACTGACACGAGAACCCAACTGCTGACTGTCACCGCACGGCTGCCAGAAACCACACCGGCTAAACTGAAACTCCACATGAGCTCCACAAACTTCTTAAGCCTGGCTGACATCAAAAGAAACTTACATTTGTATAGGTTTCTTGTATCATTTCAAGCTAAAATGTGTCAAAGAGACAAAACAATCAGAAATGTTTCGGGAAAATGGGAATACACTATGGGAAATATCCTTCCCTTGTGATTGGTGGCAATATTCTGAGCAACAACAACATATCTGGTCACTTGTTGAAGCATCTAGCAACACACAGCTGTGTCTTGGACTAAAGCGCACATCTGCATGAATGCTAGAAGGCAGAGAGTGACTGAAAATATCAATACTGATCGGTCAAAGGTAACATCTGTGGTTCCAAAAGCTTTCTGAATGTCTCAGGCAGTGGAGAAGCTGCTGATAAACAGAAGCATTCTCAAACGATTCATTTGGATTCAAGCTGCAACAAGCAAATAATTACATACAATCAGTGAAATAAGGTTTCTGATCTAACGACCGATGTGGACAACGTGCACACAGCTGTGCTTTTGGGCCAGACTACAGCAATGATGGAAGGTGCAATGTTGTTTTTCTCGTTCTATGGTCACAAATGTATGGCTGAGAGGGCAAATGTATAAGACTCAAAGTGCATGTGTTTATGTCTACATCCTGATGGTTTGAAATTTTAATACTTTAGGATTGCATCTGAGCTTCAAGTTATATTCAATAACTCATGAGCTTTGTGGGACCTACATTTATGAATGTCTGCCTATGAATTCTGTGAACTTTCTCTGCAGTTTAACACACAGAAAGTTCAGTTAAACGCTGGAATCTGAATATGTTCGATCACCACAGACGACAACATGATTAAGCCTCTCTATACACCCCAGGGTGAAGAGTTCACCCACAATAAACGAGTTGTTTACACGAGGATGAACAATAGACCCTGTAAAGCAGCCAGAATCAGCACCGACTGAGCTGCTCCGGCCTTCTACTGTAGGAATTTTCTCTTTATTCTTCCAATCCAAGCTGGTAATATTCCTAGGCCTCAGCAAAAATTCCATCTGCATTAGGTAAGCACATACAGGAATGCTTCAGCTGAATGCGGCAGCCCTGTCTGACAGTAAATGGAGACAATATTGACTTACCCCACTGTGTCTGAGTAATTAAGCGTGCCTCGTTACATCCAAAATATCTCAATATAAAGCCTAAATGCTCCAACCCCATTCACCCCACTGCACAGCTGAGTCTAGTTAGGATTTCAAAAATCTAGTTAACTGTCGTTTTATTAGTGACAATGAAAAAAATTTGCGGCCTTCATGAAATCTTCAGTAACAAAAGCACTTTTAGTTTTGGGGCCTTAATCAATTATTATAATACTGACTTCCGGTGACGTGCACCTGTTTTACCTGTAAGCAAGTCTTCCATAGAAAAGGAGAAATAACTTAACACCAGCTAGACCTGCTTTTGGTGTCTGTGCTGAAACAATGCAGCGATTTCTTTGATAGCAACTCAAAGGAAGAAATGATCAAATCAAAAGAAAATATTAAATCAAGAAGAGAAGTACGGTTAATGTCTATTTTTATGTAACCAAAAGACAAAGGCCAAAGGAGTTTCCTCAGGAAACAGCCATTCGGGGCAACAATGAAGCCGCCACTTCCTGAGCATTCATCCGACTTAAGACTGAGCACAGGCCTCCAGCCCCAGAAGGCTCTCACATCTGCACCTGCAGATACTGTGACCCCGAGCTTTGCGATAAACAACTCGGCACGCAGTCAAAAGAAGCCGCTTGAGTCAGCCGTTGGCATTTGGTGGACAAGTCTGAACATCTCGGTTTCCAGAGAAAACCTTTTAAAGAGACATGAAGCCTCAAGTAAGACTGGCATTTACCTCTCTGACGGTTATGGGCACACCGACTTTCTTTCCACTCTCACAGAAAAAAGCAGGCAGTCACCACATTAACAGAGTATAATATAAGAAGTTTTTTTTTTTTTTTTACTAAACTTAAAGAAATACAAACTCAGTGTGTGCTCTGCTGCCTGTAGAACAAAAAAAAAAAGATGAAAAATAGATAAGTCATAACTGAACTTAATGTTCAAAATAAAAAGTCTGATTACAGTCTGAAAAACAGGCTTTTCGGGGTTTGTATGCACCCTACAGCACATCACACTGGCTTGTTGATGCCTCGTGTAGATGCAGTGATAGGAATTTTCAGGAATTTGAATCACTAAACAACTATGAACAACATGCACATCTTGAAATGGAGAGCTAAAAATCTGACTAGCACTGGAGAGAGCTGGAAGAACCTGGTGTTTAGATTGTGTACCAGACACTAAATCACTAATGAATCCACTTGACAGTTCTGTTCAGAATGGTCTTTATAGACGTGATGAAAGTAATTTGCATGCTGCTAAATAAGCTCCAGGTTTAGAAAAACAAAAACAAGAAGCAATTATGCCTCTGCTACTTCTAATAAATATTCACAGTAAGCATACAAGATAAGCATGCAAGAAGGGGATGAATATTCAGAGGCAGCGTTTTACCCTTGAGATAAGTACGGTTTAGGACAGAGACACTGGGTAGACATTTTTGTATGAGACAAGAATAAAGACCGTTCTCACCACTTTAACAAACCAGCTATTACAGCCTTCATGAGCAGTCAGCAGGCGCATGGCTCGGCCTCATTTTCCAGCCACCCAAGCTGAAAGAGCTCACATGTAGCATGGCGTGCTCTCTGAGCAACAATAAGATGTTGAGCTGCGTCAGAAACAAACACTCATCTGCAAACGGACCACTTCTTAGAGCACGGCAGCCAGTTAAACACCACAGAGAACACTGACCCCAACAAGCATGTAATTATAGGGCGAGCATGAGAGAGGCCGTTTTTTCACAGACGTTTCCATATTCAAACAAATAACTTCACTTTGATTCTTTACAAGCTTACTTCTTATGTAAAAAAACATTCATATAAAGAAACAGACACTTGCTTATAACTTCAACGCAAAACTTCAATAATGTCCTTTATAGAACAGAACACTTGACATGCAAGACCAGATACTGATCATGTTCTAAAGCTTTTATAATTAGTGACTCTTACGTTTCTGACACTGTTCTTACCGTGCTGATTTGTATGCAACAGTTTAAGGTTCCCCGATGAATGATAATTAATGAGCTTACAGATATTAACGGGTAAACCTGAACACAACACAAACAATGCAGAACAATCCACTCACATCCAGATATTGGTCCCTATCCATCTCGAAGGGACAGATGTATGAATCGTTTATACGCACAGAAGTCCCATAGAAAAACAAAATAAAATACCTTACTGGGAGCTTTGTCAGCTCCTAGAGGGGTATACCACCATTTTACAGGGGGTACACAATCAGAAACGCACACTTCATCACAGCAGAACAGAGCCTTTGTGCATCTGTGAGATGAGTGCCAAATGAGAGGCATGTCCAAACCCTCCTGATTTCCCATTCTTCTTCAAATAGGCTGCTCATTAATTAGGGGATGAGGAAAAAAAACTTCAAACACATGCACTTAAGTTTGAGTGGCACATCAAACATAAAAATCACTGTAGCCTGCAAAGAGAAAAGCTTTAGTTCTGAGGACTCGTCACGCTGTGTGTATGTCTTATGAGATCCTCCTGAAAAGGATGAAATAACTGTGTGTGGAAGGTGTCCTATGAGTCACCAAACTGATGGTAATATGAAATGCTGCCATCAGAAAGGGTAAAAAGGTGATACTTAGGAATTAGCTGAATTTTTCTGTGTAAATAATTCCCGATGGGCTGTTATCCACTAAGCTTCTGTGAGATACAGTAGCCCATCAGACACACAGGTATTACTGTGCATTCAGAAGGAGTTTAGACATTTTACATAGTTAAGAACTCTATTTAGATTTATTATATTCATGTCACTCATCACAAAAAAACAAGGCAACCCCAGTCTTGTTTTGTACCTTCGATGCTGAGTTCAAAGCACACATGGCAGAAAGATAAGGTCCCCGTTTCTGTCTCCAATTTGCAGACACTGCAGATATTGTCATCGTTCAGATCAATGTTCACAAACTGCTCCTCTTCGTCCATGGTACTTCTGTGGAAAGAAAAACAACGAAAGACAGAGGGGTTTATCACATTCAGTTTGAAGGCTGTGTGCCCCGCCAGAGTTTTGTGCATTATTTCTTTGTCTTGTGTTTTAGTTCAACTGCAGTTTTTTCCTCTGAAGTAGCTTGCAAACCCACTAATTTTCAGCACATGCATGTTCACTTAAGGTCAGATCAAGATGACAGAGAGATTATCTGTGGCTAAGAAGAGAAACTAAACTCATTCAGCCTCTTGGAATTTGTCCAACACCTAATAACAAACATATCAGAGTTAAATAAAAATCAATAAAAAAGTTATTGTTTGTAAACCCAATCACTTTAAGGGCTCCTGTAACGTTTTTATAAAAACGAGGAAGGAGCAGGTCAGTTTCAAAGATTAAATGAAGGATAAAAATCTACTCATGGATAGAATAGTAACACTGGAGCCAGTTGTATCTGTATTATTCATTTGCAGGGCGACTGAGCAGCCTTTACATGCAAGTAAAGTTCAGGTTTTGGGATTGTTTTCCTGCTTTACCAAAATGCATTCAAGGTTGCCCTTCAGGCAATTGAATTCAACCTTGATAGCAAAGAGAGAGCAGTGCTTTGCCACATGAATAAAAATAAAGGAGAAACAGACTGTAGCACTGATCAACACGTCCTTTTCTTTCCTTCATCTCTCCATGGCTACAACAATAATACAACCAAGGCATGTAAAACCCTTTGTTTTTCATCAGCATTTAACATTTAAATAAAAGTACCTTTAATGAGACACACCATCTCCCAGGCCTATAAAACTAAAGGATAACTATTCAGTAGTCAGTAGTCAAATCAACTAAGTGACACAACCGAGCTACAGGTGAAAAACGTTAACAATAATCGATATGTATCCGTTTTAAGTCAGTGATCCAGTAACACCATGGAGGGCTCGGTTCCTTTGAGAACTTTCTACTTTGTTGAAAGCACACTGTGTCCATAACCTTTACCTGTGGTCTCCTCTTCTAACAACAGGGGGTTTAAATGCTTAACTACACAAAAATGTTACCTCGGTAGTACTTATTTCGCAGGAGTCGTTCGTCCAAATGCCACAATGCACAACGTTAAACAGATGACTGCTAACCAGAAGTTAAGCTAGCAGCACACGGGCATCCTCCGAGTTCTGCGGTCTGGCGGATTCGTGACCGTTATTTTTACGTTGCTTAACAACAGCGTGTGACAGAAAACGAGGATTTAACCGAATCGAAGTCGGCACTTTGAGAAACTTACCTTTAACCTGTCTGGGACCTTCGTACAGCTGTTTGTTTCGCACAGACACCTCTGTTCCTGAGCAGGCGCTGAGGTCCCCAGACGTTAACAAGTAAAAGCGTCACGGTAAATTCACAGAAGCTACAGGAGCCTGTGTTGCCTGAGACCGGAATGTACCACTAAATATCAAGGGGTGAAGGCAGTCGGTTTCAGTTTAAATATTACATTTCCGTTTCCCAGTTGAAAAAGACACATACCACTATAACACTACAATTTCACCTAATATAAGTATCTAACTTGAATTAATAGTCTTCTCACAATAATCTCATATGGAAATAACTGTGACGAATACACCCCTACGCTTAGCGTAAATCAGGTCTTCCTTCCAGCCGTCATCAAAACATTAGATGTAATGTTAGATAAGTGGAGTAGGTTTACCCAGATATAATCAAATTTTCCCAATCGAGACAGCTAAATAACTTTTAATAAATCACAGTTTCATGCATGCAGAGTTTTACTTCAGACGACCGCCATCTGCATTTTCTGTTTACATTCACCTATACGTGAAGTGACGCGTAGGGATTTCCCGCGAAAGATCGAGAGGAAGAGCTCTTATTGGCTCTGTTAACTTAACATAATTGGAATGTATTAATCTATAAAACTTTATCCAACTCCACTGTAAATTGTAATGGATAAAAGAGGAAGTACACATCTGAAATCCCTAAGGCCCCTTTCACCTCTACTAATGTGTCAGATCTGATTCACAGTGGCATTATTTTTGTGTAAATAACATTGACTACTGAACCTTCCATTTCCACATAAGTAAACATCTTAAAATAGCAAATAGCAGTAGCACTCATTAAATTGAAGTGACTGGTGCAGGATGGAATTACCCTTTGAATTATAAAGCCATGCTAAATGTTTATACCTTAGTATTTGCAAGAGCTTTTTTTCAATTTTATTTTTTCACCCAAGGCAAAGACAAGCCAGGGGAGCTGTCATTTCAAATGCATAATTACAAACCTCATAATGCCGATCTGCTCGAGACTGCACATTTATAAATGTGTCAGTGGTGTTTAATTCAGTTTTACCCTGTATATGTGAAGTGATATGCAAGTGCAGCAGATGGTCATGTCACAACGGCTTGTTCTCAGCCCAGTGGGTACCAGACTGCATCAACGACTACAGCTGGATCATTGATGCGTTGCAACAGAAGATACTTATCTGTGGTTTCCCATGATTAGATCATCTTGAATAATTAATGAGATTGAACCAATCAAACTTTCAGTAGAAATATCTCAGTCCATAACACACACTGAAGGTTGTTCACATTTCCAGTTGCCATCATGCCTTAAAGCTCTGGACTGTGCTGGAATAAAACAGTGCAAAAAAGTTGCTCTCAGTCGTGCAAAAAGCGCCATCTTGTGGTCAAAAAACAATAGTACAGTCCCATTTTCTCGTGGGGGAGTTAAAGATATTCTTCAGAACTAAAGAAGCCTGCGCTGAACCATGCATCCATTTCTCCAGGTTACTCATTTGTCAGAATGGTGGCATGGATTTACACCCTATCACCCAGAGCAGACCGTCTGTGCATGAACATGCTTGTGGCACAATGATGAAAAGATCTAAAAAGCTACCTTCAGTGTTTATTAATCACAAATTGACAAAGACTGATGATAAAGATGAGACTTTATGAACACAGACTCGGCAGTGTCCTGCACAGCTTGAGTTAAATCTGCCTCGACTGATGTCATCGACAGACAAATCCTGACATGCCTCTTCGCTGCACCATTAACAAACAGGAGCAACAAATGTAGACACAGTGGCAGCACTCAGGTTACTGTGTCCTCTACACAGATGTTTTCTCCATAGTGTGGACTTTAACCTCACTTCATTTCAGTAACTATGCTATACTCCCAGTCTTTACAAGAAACAACTTTCCTCTTCTTACTATTAACCCCTAACAGTCTGAGATAAAAACAGTTTACTTCTACCTGAATCTGAAAGTACCCCCCTGTCTTAAGCGCCCATAGATCAAGATCCTTTTCTTAACATTTGAGCAGTGTTATTCGTCTTCAGAGCTGCTAACATTAAAATTAATCCGTGCTGAGTGTTCACACATCTCTGAGGCTAACATCCACATGTTGGTACTTGCCTTCGTTCTTAGAGACATGATCTACAAATCTTGTTCAACAAGTTCTGTGAGGTTAAAATAAGGGGAGAGGAGAAAAAAGTAAAAGGATAGTCAGCTTACGCTTGCCAATAACAGTAAGCGGAGCAGATGTGGGTTTAAATTAAATTTAAGATTATCTGTAATATAAAATTATGTGTTTTGATGTATAATTTAGTTTAATTAATCCATCTTTTAAGTCCATATCTTGACCTTGCATCACTCCTATGATTCACAAAGGGCTCAGTGTCTGTCAGTCTGACAGAGCACTGAGGTGTGACTCATCCAAATGAAAAAGTCCCTGTCATTGTCAGACAAAGGAGCAGCAAGACATTTCATCTGAAGAAGGAAGCCTTACAATAATCTAAACCAATCTGACATATAAATCTGCCCAGAATCCTGTCACAGAAAGAAGAAACTGTCAGGGTAAAGCAGAACCCACAGGGTTGTCATAGTCAAGATCTCTCTCAATTAGGCGCCATATTCGGATTCTCTCCACATTAACTTTGTCCTCAGGAAATTTCTGCCATTTGTGGTAATTAAACAGACACACACAATTAAGTGGCAGACATTTTGAAGAGCGGCTGCCACAGTTTTCTGTCAGGTAAGGAAAGCGTAATTGCCAACTCACGGCATCCTTCCATGTCCCGTTTGGGCGTATCTTCATTGGAATAGTGTTAGCTCTAAGGTGGATTCACTCATACTCTGTACCATGACTAATGAGAGTAGGGACTGACTTCATCCATCATTCACCAAGAAGTAAAGCATGACAGCAGACCAGACTATGAGCAGAGGACAACTGATCAGACATGCTCAAGAAAATGAAATTACTCATGTGTACTTATACAGCAGACACAGCGTTAGACCATTAAAACTTGTGTGTTAAACATAGAATATGGAACTACAGTACCTCCTTTAATAATCCTCATAATACTGCAACGTCATGGACAATACAAACCTGGCCAAATAGTCCAACCCACACCATAGAAACATTGACAGAAAATGAATACGGAATTGGAGAATGAGATCGCCTGATACACTCAGCAAAGGCGTCAGATTACACATATTCACAGTCATTTTCTGGGTCTACAAGAACACAGGCTGTAAAAACAACACACTTTCAAGCACCAGCCACCCGCATGGGCTTTCTCAGGTTACGAAAAGCCGAGCCCTACAGGCGTCAGCGGACGGCATGTTGGTTTTAGTGAGTGATGAAAAGTTAAAGTGGCCGTAGGAATTAGCCAACAGGAGGAGGTAGTACATCAGCGCCCCTTTTTACCCATCCATCATTTTCCAGCCTGTGATTCCCCTCAGGGGCAGTTCCCATGGTCTGTGCCAACCTGAGCATGCTCCCTCAGCAGAGGCAGAAAGATAATAACATTCCAGGAGGGGCTGCAGATGCAGACATGCACACTCCAGCCAACATCAAGACCGATCTTTCCTGCCCACGTGCAGGCGAGGCAGCAGCAGGTCGACTCTGAAATAGGAGACCTTCTCTAACGAGCCTGTGGTGTTAAAGGTTCTGCAAAACAGTTTAAAAGGGGGAAGGAAAAAGCTGATATGTGAACATATCGAACACAATATTTTGTGGTGAGAATGAAAGCTTAATCCATCTCCTAAAATGAGCTACTGCTATCAAAGAGTTTGTTCCTTTTTCTTTCTCCAGAGGCCAAGTTACAAAAGAATGAAAGCATCAAACATAGTGATCGATTCAAACTGTTTTAATGGGTGATGACTGCTTCGTAACAAGTACAGACCCCTAAAAAAATGTCCAGAGGCAGTGGGTCTAATACATTTCTGATCTTATTGCATCTGTCTTTGTGCAAAGAAATACTGGAGACAGACTGCAGTGTAGAAAAACAAATATGTCCACGAAGGACACAGCTTTTCCATTTCAATCATCAAATTCCATACAAATATTGCGCTTGTTAAGTAAAAAAATGCTTGTTTAATAAAAGCCTAAATTAAAACATAATACAGGTATTTATAGTTCGTATTTACATTGGTCCTATTTACATCTTTTTGAGCTTTTACAACCATTAGGAAAGTTCCACCAACAGTGTTTCAAACCTCCAAAGAGTCACTTAAGATTGGAATGATGATCCCCTACCCGAGTGTGAGGCAGCAAAGAGTTGACGAAAGAAAAAATAAACTACATGGAAGATGGCTCTGTACAGTTTGGGCTGTGTTCCTGCTCTGGTTAGCATGGCGCTGAAGCACACTGCGAGCTGGGGGACTGTGGGGAGTCTTTGTGCTCCGTCAGTTTGAGAATGACGACCTTCCTCGGGAGCCGCTTGGCCTCCAGCGCCGTGGGCTCCTCGGCCGCTGGCTGCTCCGCCCTCTCCGTGACTAAGTCCTGGCAGACCTGAGGCAGCAGCATGGTGATGATGTTGGAGTGTCCGCCCTGCACTGCCAGGTGCAGCGGGCTGAGGCCCTGCTCGTCTGACTGGCCGCCGCCTTCTGGGCAGTGAATGAGCAACTCTTTAAGAACCTCACAGTGTCCGCCCTCTGCAGCCAGGTGGCAGGCGGTGCGCAGGGCCGGGGTGGATCTGTAGGGGTCAGCGCCCTCTGCGATAAGCATCTTGACGGTGGCCAGGTGACCCCTCTGCGAGGCCATGTGGAGAGGTGTGAGTCCGTCCGAGTTCTGGGCATGTATGTCGGCCTGGTGTTTAATCAGGAGGCGCGAGGTGCTGGTGTGGCCCGTTTCGGCCGCCACGTGAAGCGGCGCGTTCAGCCCAGCTGACCTCATGTGGACGTCTGCCCCCAGCTCAATCAGAATCCGTGCCACTCTGTACTGGCCCCTCTGGGAGGCCAGATGCAGAGGCGTGCGGCCGTCCGATGTCTGGCCATCCACGTCGGCGCCCGCCTGTTTGACCAGCAGCTTGACAATGCCCAGGTGCCCCTGCCAGGCGGCGAAGTGGAGCGCCGTCCAGTTGTCCTTGCCCTTTATTCGGACATCAGCACCGCGGCTCAGCAGCACCCTGATCACGTGCTCCTGGCCGTGCTGGCACGCCACGTGAGCCGGCGTGCGTCCCTGGCCGTCGGTCTCGTTGATGGCCGCCCCTCGATCCAGCAGCAGGCGGGTGATGGCTTCATCTCCATTCTGGGCGGCCCAGTGCAGAGCCGTGTACTGGTCCTCGTCTTTGGCATTGACGTTGGTGCTGCGCCGACTGAGCAGAATTTCAGCCAGCGGCTTCAGGTGCTTCTCCGTGGCCAGGTGGAGGGGCGTGGAGCCACGGTGGTTCGCAAGATTGGGATTGGCATTGTTCAGCAGGAGGAACTTGACAGCCTCCTCATTTCCCAAAGAGGTGGCATGATGGAGGAGGCTGCTTCCTCCATCGAGCCGGAGATCAACATCCTGAGGCTGAAGGATCTTCATCAGCTTGGCAGTATCTTTGGTTCTGATGGCCTCGCACAACTTCCGTTTCTGGACTTCAGCAGAATCTGTTCAGAAAGGTGGGCAGAAAACAGGTCTTTGTCAATCAGATAAAACCACACCTACTTATGCAGAAAAGTCCCACAGCAACTGTTTCTCTCTGTGTTATTATCGATTCTGGTTGGAAGTTTTTAATCAGCTCTCACCAATTGTGCTTTCTTTCTCAAAGGACAGGGTGATGGAGTCCTGGGAGGAGAAGGCCGAATCTGCAGAGGAGATGCCGGACAGTCTCTTGCAGGTATTCTCTTTGCTGTGGCAGCTGTCCTCCTTGAGACGATCAAAGCTCTTGGAGATCCCAGAGTCCACCTGGCTCAGCAGCTCCGACAGGCTGTAGTCTTTTTCCGGCAACATGGCTGACTTTGGACGGACTGGTTTGCTGTCATCACCCTGTACAAAAATCCACATCAGCACCTGGTACTCAGGCAAACAACTGTTTGTACATTCTGTACATTCCATTGTATTTACTCTCTGATTTCTTTCAAACACAATTCATGGCTGACCAGCTTTAAAATGAAAACATCTGATAATTTGTCGATTTATCTGGTGCCAAACGGAAGTGGAAAGAAAACAGCTTATTTTTTGTACCAACAGACTGATATCACAGCCTAACAGCTGTCACTTCCCACCAGCAGGATGTTTGCGTTTTGTCTTATTCTCAACAGCGTGACAGTACGGAAATGACACAGCAGCCAACAGGTTGAACAGTCCCATCAGTCAACATTCTTCCTCTGTGATGCAATGGTTTTTCTGGACAACGCTTATTACACACTCATAAATCTGTCTGAAGCACTTCAGAGATAAGACTCTTGTTGTCCAGGTAAGGAGTTATTCATTAACGAAAACCACTTCCAAGGAATAAGTCTAGCAGTATTGAGATGTAGATAGGAATAAGGATCAATACGCTGTGGTCAAAACTCCTTAAAAAAAGCTGGCAAAAGCACCTTCTAATCACCATCTAAATGAGACGGGAAACATAATGGCATCATGTCGTACCTGGCCAGTGGTGAGTGGATTCGGGGACATTGGCTCTGGCTCTGATGAGGATGGCAACGAAGGGGTCTTGGGCTCCTCTTGAGGTTTAGAACAGAGCTCTTCAGCCTCAGATGTAATTTCTGCAAGAGCAAAGGTCTGGGTCAGATTTCAGGTTAAGTTTTGTCAGACCAAATAAGATTTAATGGGCTTGGTCCGGTCAAGAGTCAGGGAGAGTGCAAAGATCAGGATGGAAACAGAAACAGAGGCCTAACTCACCCTGGAAGCTGGGTCTGGCCTCAGGCTTCGGGGCCCAGCAACGCTGCATGAGGTTCAGGAAACCTGCACAGGTGGATGGCCGACTTCGTGGGACTGCTCCCAGGTCAGGACGAACCCCTTTCACCACTTTCACCATAATCTGCAGGATGTTGTTTTCTCCTGCAGGAGCAAATGTGACAATTCCATCACTAACCAGCAAATCAAATCTAACCCAGTGGTGTGTGGTGTGACCTGTCCTTATTGCTAAAACACAGTTACATAATTACCTGAGGTGGTTGTAAATGCAAAAGTTAATGAGAATATTCTGCTTCATGAGCGTCTTCCTGCACACTCAGATAGACAGAAAAGTATTTCTGGTTTCCCATTGGAGCATAAAGGGCCTGACCTTTTTCCGTCTTGCCATGAGTCAGTGATTCATAGCAAACAGGTAGAGGCTTACAGCTGCTTCACCTCCTATTGTAGCCATAATACCCTTCATAAATGGATAAGGAAGACGAGCAGGAGTGGTAACCCAGCCATTTCTTACTTTTTAATTATGTCTGGATCAACATGGGCAGTGCCAGATTCAAAAGACACTAGACTTTTATGAAAAAGCTACCTGATATGCCTGGGAAATTAAAAAACAAACACAGTTGCCAGTCTAGCTCTGTGCCTGTGCTGGAATGTAGAGGGTAAACTTGTTATCTACAGCTCCTCCATGCTCTCCTTTAAGGGTTCAGATGGACGGAGAGTTAGGAATGCAAATATTGCAGTCTGTTAAACCTTTGACTATAAATATGTAAATGTACTTCTGATCATGGAACTAATGGTTTCAGTCCCAACAGTGATGAAAAGCTCACCTTGGTAGGGTTTCTTCTGTGTGAGAATTCCCCAGATCACAATGGAGAAGCTGGAGAAAGGACAAGGAGGAAAGTGTAAGAGTTTATTCAAGGAACAACATCATGCTCCTACCATGAAAGTTCACCTGTCTCCAACTCAGAACATCAACATATGTGCTCAGATTGATGTATGGGAATGTTTGGCTGATTCTTTGTTAAATACGCAATGCTTCAGCTCAAATCGGTCTTGATTAAAAAAAAAGCAGTATGTATTAAATGAGACTGGGCATGGAAGAGAATTGTCTAAATAAAAAGACAGTGATGTGTATTCAGAGGTTAGCATGCTAACCTGTACACGTCGTGCTTGGTGTCCGACACCCTGTCCTTCTCTATGATGCTCTCGGGCGGCAGGTAGGCGATGGTGCCGCAGAAGCCGTCTCTGCTCATGTCATCCGCCCGTGACAGGCCGTTCCACCGGGCCAGGCCGAAATCAGATATCTGCAGCAGACACAGATCAGGCTAAATAGTCAAACAGAGAAAGCCCTGTGCCTCATGAAACACTGCGGCTGATGACTAACGTTGCCCAGAGTGGGTGACAGGCAGGTAAGCTCTCATTATCCACATTCAGTGGTATGATGAGGGCAACCCAGCCATGTTCAGACCTGCAGGAGAGGAGCGTACACACCTACACATACAAACACACGCATTCACACGGAGAGCTCTAACAGGAGCTAAATTAAGCTTGTTGGAACAGGCCTGGGTGAGGTGTTTACATCCAGGCCTTTAACTCCAGATATCATGGTTCCCACCCGCTGCTTTTTGTACAGCTGTTCAGAGGTTGGACAGAGAGGATGAAAAACACCTGTCTGTTCACAGCATGAATAGGACTATCATATTCAAATCAATAAATGGAACAGAAAAGTCCATAATTCCTTTTAGAGGCCCAAACGGTCACTTTATTTAGAGTTTTTCCACGAAAAAAAAAAACATTTAAACCAGAAAATTTCTTTGACTCAGCTTCTTTAACGACAGCGGGTATAATAACGTGTTCGAATCTAAAGCTAAAGCTTACCATGTTCTGCCAAATAACGACTGTGGGCCGTTCAGTGCCACTGTACATGAAACAGCTGTTTGGAAAAGCGACCCACCTTGACGTGGTAGTGGGCGTCCAGCAGGATGTTGGCGGGCTTCAGGTCCAGGTGAAGAAGCGGCGGGCTCATGCAGTGCAGGAAGTTCATGCCGACCGCCGTCTCGTGAATGATCCGGAAACGGAGCTCCCAGGGGAGCGGCTCGGTGGCCAGCAGGTTCTCCAGGGATCCCGTCTCCATGTACTCCATAACGAGGCCCTGGGGGTCCTCGCAGATCCCATACACCGGCAGAATGTATCGGAACTTGGCCGCCTCCATCTTCTTGGCCTCCTCTAGCAGCTCCAAACGCTCCCTTTGTCAAAGAAATTATTTATTTTCAGTGAGAATTATGATATACGTTTTCGGCCTCAGGTAATCAGCCTCTTCCGCATAGTGTGTCATTACAAACAGAAGCAGGAATTTGGTTTGAAGTAATCTGGTTTACTTTTTCTTCCTCATCAACAGTTCCACATCTCTAGGCTCAGTTATTTATTCAACCTGGTGACTCATTAAACATTAACCTGCTCACTCTAGGGCCCTTCTTTGCTCGCCAAGCAGCAATATTTGGAATAACCTTCAACCCAAATTCCTTTGCACTGTGCATCATCTCCGCTGACCTCTTAGCTGCGCAGTGTTTATCAGCCTTTACCTCAGAGGCTGTGTGGGCAGCCAATTTGTGGGCATGCCAGTAAAAATCAAAGGCATTTTAATAATGTCATTAACCACTCAGTGCTTCTTTAAAGGTCTTGAAGGACATTCCAGGCCAGCCTGGAAAGCATCCGCAGAGTCCATGGGGCTTAAACACAGCTCTAACTCTTTGTTGCTCAACCTGCACTCTGCAGCTTTATCATGCCCTGCTGACACGCCGACAGCAAAACTGCGCAAGCCCTTCGTGTCCTCGGTTCACTTATCTCATGCAGAGCTTGCTCTCAAAATACTGCCTTTTAATTAGGACAGCCCAGAGAAAGATAAAAACCCATTATTGGCCACATTCACAGGAATTAGAGCACAAGCAGTTGAAGAGGGCTGGGAGCTGTGCTCCAGCGCTGAGCATCGCATTAAATGAGATGCACTAATTCGAGGTCCCGTGTTGATAAAAGAGCACGGTGGATCGGATTACTTAGAATCCACGAGAGGAAGTCTGGCTATAATTGCCCTTCGTAGTGAGTGCTACTTAAGGAGGAACTGGCCCCCAGAACGCCCAGACAGGTGCAATCAAACAACTCATGTGAGATTGGGCAAGCACCTGTTTTCTAAATCCCTCATTTAATCCAAAGTGCTTCTGAGCAGCTCTTCAGAACCAAACAATGTGCCTGCCTTAGCAGCGACACCCGGTAAGACCGGTTCTCCAGCTTCTTACATTGTCTGCTCCACACAGCGACAGGCAGACAAAGGTGGCTTTCAGCCCCCGCTGCTGGATGCGATGTGTGGGTCACTGAAGGCTGCAGTCAAATGACTGTTTATGTGCCTTTCAGATTGCTGGAAGCGATAGCTGGTTTGGCTCAGGTTCAGCGGATGTCTGAGCTGCTCCACAAGTTTGGAAAAAGTTTTGAAGTGTTTTGGTGACAGCAACCAAATGAAGGATGATGGTCAAACAGGAGCTTGTTGCTGTTCCCAACACTGAGAGGTGGCTTGCTTTCCCCAGCTAGTTTCCTAAATAGAAGAGATTCCATGATGACCTGTGTGTTTGCATGCACCTCTAAGATGCGTGAAAGTTTCCACTGACCGGTGGGTTTGCTATCATGCTATCTAACAGACCGTCCCTTCATAAAAAATATTGCACAGAAGAAATACAGCAGTTTGGCTCACAGGCATGCAGCTACATAATCTATGATCTTATATGTTTTGAAAGATCTCCGACTCTCTGCCAAAGAAACATTCATGCTTGTGCAAAACGATATTCTAGAAGGTTGCATAATCTCCAGGAACGCCTTGGGGGCAAAAGACCACTCTGCTGCTCCCTCTGACACATGCATTTGTTCTGATGAGCCCTCTCCTGAGGCCACAATGTGATAAGATCAAAAACCAAGGGGGGAAAGCAGTGGGCCTTTCATGTCTTGCTCCAATCTAATGGGAGACAGCTATGTCCCTTAGCTGAGTGGACTCACGCTCGCTCGGGGGATGAATCAACATGTCAGAGCTCCTTGAACACACCACCGCTGTGTTGAAATACCTAAAGGTGGCTGGAGCATGGGTCACTTTCCAGCTGCTCTGTGTGCCCACACTGGCCGAGAACAGCTCACATGTTACCTGCTGTTCACTGGCTAAAACTCTGGTGCTCTGTCTGTCTGTGTTTTGCCCATTAACCAGTAATAGGGCAGAGAAATGAGAAGCAGGAAAGACATTTTGTACATCTGGCTCTTTAAAAGACAACATTTTAGACAGATAAGTCTAAACCAAATTCCAATTACAACTGACCACACAGATGACTGTAACTTAACAGTTACTGTAACAACTTTAACTTACTTGTCATCCACATGAAGGCAGGGGGGGCACTTGATGGCCAGCCATGTTTTCCACTGAACATGCCGGACTTTGTATACCTGTCCAAATCCACCTGAGCCTATTTTCTCCCAGCTGCCAAACTCAGAAGAGTCAAAGGTCCTTAACAGCCCCATATTCCCATGCGGAGAATCCGGGACATCCATGTCGAGAAACCCACCAACACAGCAAATTTCTTTTCTTCTTCGTCTCCAAGGCACAAAATGAGGAGAGCTCTCCCAAACAGCGATCAGCCAGCTTGTGAGCTCTTCCTTGTTTTTCCCCTTCTCTTGCTCAGTGCGGCCCCTCCCTCTCTTCAGGTAAAAGGAGGAGCTGGGACTGACATCACATCCTGGTTTAGACACACAGAGAAGAGAAGGCAAAGTTCACTGAGAGCACAGGAACACCAGCCAGATTATCTGTAGTCTTCCATTTGCCCTCAAACTAATCTGAGTCCAGAAACTGAGGAATGTGTCATTTCATAAATACACTTTTGTCCCACTGTAACCCGCTATACAACTAAACAACCTGAGGTAAAGATACATAATATGTCTGAATAAAAGGAAGGTAATGTGATATGGACAGTAGGACAGTAGCTTGGAAATATGTGTCAGCACAAAGAAATACTCTTACATAAACCCATTTGTGTCACTGTAGTGGGACTCGGGGCAATGCAATGAGAAAATGAAGAAAAAGAAAACAGAAAAAGCTTGTTTTCAAGTTCAAATAATTTCCATTTTGTTTATTCACTGACTTCTTTTTCTTTCCTGCTTCATCCAGTTCTGAGTCTTAGTTAATACTGAGAAAATCATGATAATAGTAAAAGCAACAATGCCTTTTACTGTTAGAATAGAATACAATCTCAAAGTCATGACAAACGAAAGTATAACATAAAGCAACCAAGTAATGACTCTGTTTAAAAGTGTAATTTGTCATATCAAACCTAAACATCAGTGGAAGGAGGAGCTGACTCTGTTTCTTAAATTGCATCTGAAAACAGAAAATGACTGAATGATACAGCAACTTTATTAAATTATATTCACTTAAAGAAATAGAAGATGAGATGATTTAGAGGAATTCAACTTAAACATAGTTTTAGTGTGTGTGTGTGTGTCAGCCTAATGAACGTGGTGAACATAGTGCGTTCCACTTGAAAAGCTGTCTGTTGTGCAAAAAGATCCCAGTTATCATATGACGCCTGCATTGCTGTGATTTGTTACTACTTTAGTGGAGTGCTGCTGGTCTGACAATGGAGCCAAGCTGTAATGTGACTTCAGTCTAATCCTCTCAGTCACTTTTGTAGCCCGTTTCTTCAGGCGATTTTTCCCAGTTGAAGTAAACTTTCAAAAAATCCTTTTTTTTTTTAATGAACGTAAATTAGGGAACTGGAGACAGATGGAGACTTTGAGCACTTATTTCTTAGAAAACAGAAACAAAGCCGGATCCTCTGAATGGTCAAAGACAGATCAAAGCAGAAGAATTCAGGATGACGAGGAGAAATGACCAGAACCAGATTCTGAAACAGCCGTAAAACAGAGAACAACCAAGGAACCAAGAAAGAAACCAAAGTACAAGAAGAAAAAACCCCAAAAAGCAATGAAACTGTCATCTAATAACACAGAATGGGGAATGAACTGAGAAGTGTGTGACGAACAGAAAGACAAATCAAACTGACTGGAAAAGACCAAAAATCCAAAGAAGAGAACAGAAACAAATATGAGAACAATCAGAAATGCTGTTGGCTTCCTCATACGCTTCCCTCTAAGGTCACACTTGCCGTGTGCTGTCTGACCGTTTGCAGCACAGACACGATGCCATGGGGAAACTGGAAGGACCAGGCTGATTGACTGGGAGTGAAGCAGTGAGCCACGCTTCACCTAAAACGACTGACGCTGTCACTGATATGCGTTTTGTCCCCTGAGGCTGCAGAGAGAGCTAAAGACCCACACAGCTGTTACTCCACCCGTCTTTAAGAGTGTAAATGTGCTGCCACACCTTCTCATCACAGTCAACAGAGCTTTTATTGAAGTGTTAATTAAAAGTGTTAATTAAAGTTTTAATCTATTCAAAAAGAGAAATGGTGACTTTCCAGTTACAAAACCTCCTTTGCTCTGTGCAAACTTTTCCTTTTCTAACACAGTGTGTGTGTCTTATTTTCCATGTTTCACATTGAAGGCTAATGTTTAAAGGCTAAGAATAAACAGATTGCTATGGGTTTTATCGCCATCTGGTGAAAGATTTGCACATAATGCAGGTCATTGTGAGAAATGAGATCCGGCTGCTCTTTATCAACACAAAAGTGTCCAAAAGGTTATGAAATTTTGACAACCTTGTTCAACAAGTGAACAAGGATGTTTATCGAGCCGCTAACGTCAGGTACTGCCTGCTTCTTCCCATCTAAAACCCTGTGAAAACTATGAATGCACACTGTGATTTAAGTTGCATTTTTTACTTTCCCTGTAGAAAATGTGTAAGAATCTTTTACATTGAATGCTTCTACTTGATCATCCATCAAAAGCAGGGTTTTCGCTGTATTTGGAGTGCAAAACTACATTAAAGTCGTTGGTCTTAGTCTTCTTTTATGGTTAGAAAACTTGCAAACTTAGCCCTCCACCAGACAAAAACACACAAAGAAGATAGTTTATTTATCTTTTTTTTATAAAATGACGGTAAAAAAAAAGCTTCTTATTTCAGATGCTCAATAATTACAGTTTACATGATTCAAAAATGACATTTCATTGTTTTCTCTCCTTTAACTGCTCACAGAGTGCATCTTCCTATTGGGGTTGGTGCGCGTCCTGCTTTGAGTGCAGTTCATCCTGAAAACGTGCTCTCGGAGGCTTGTAAGGCATCTCAATGTTGGACTTGTTGCTTTGGTTTGTTGGTGATGTGGATCGTAGAGCGTACCGTTTTTTAAATTCATTATTAGCAGCTACTTTGTGTTTTCAGCATTAAAAAAAGAAAAGGAAAAAGAAGTGAATTGGCTTCCAGGGTGAGAGGCATCTGGGTGAGGAGCTCTGTACAGTCTGATAAAAAGCTACTCTACTCTGAGTGTGAGGTGACCTGCACCCCCCGGTGCTGCTCAGTAGCTGAACATCTGCTGGGTGGAGCCGCTCTGCTGCTGTGGGGGGGGCGGCTGGCTCGGGCCGCTCCGTCCCGGCTCTGGACCCTGGCTCTGGCCCTCCTGACTCTCGCCCTGAGCGCCCTCCACCACTGGGGCCACCTGGCTGCCCTCGGCAGCGGCCACGGGCCTCCAGGCCAGAGTGGGCGCCTCCAGCTGGTGGCTCATGGGGTTGACCAGCGTGGTGAGGTTGATGAAGTGGGCCACCGACTGGGGCGCCGTGCCGCTGGTGGGCCCCACCGTCTCCGGGACCAGCTCGGCGGGCCGGTTGTGGAGCATGGCGGAGCCGCTGACCGCGTCGAAGGTGACGGTGAGGATGGAGTTGTCCAGCGTGAGGGGCCGGTCGCTGGCCGTCAGGTGGCCCACGGCCACCGGCTGCAGGCTGGTGAACTGGGCAGGGGCGTGGCTGGTGATGGGCGTGACCGTGATGTTGGTCAGCCCCACCGAGCCGCTGGGGGAGGGGGCGGCCGGAGCGCCGGGGTCGGTCAGGACCACCACCTGAAAAAGCAGCACGCGGCTCAGTTTTCCCATTTTCAAACACAAATCCGTTTGGGAGTTTTATTCCCCAACGAGGCGAAAACCAGATATTTTATTCTTACATAAGAAATATTGGCTCATCTTAAAATACCAGAACAAAAATGGGTTCATGTTTTTCATTTGGAGCTGCTCACAAAGTCGTCTTTTGTTCGTGAGCAGAAACACAAACCTGGAACCAGCCTGAGACATCATGAGTGCCCTCTTTACAGTGAGGAAACGTGATCTTTTGCTGGTTGTTCTGCCAGCGGCTGCATTTCAGCTTCAGCAGCTGGACATCTACCTGCTGGATGCTCTGTACCGCAGAGCTGGTCTCCGTCTCGTCGCCCACGATGACGGTGTTGAACTGGTTCAGGGCTTCGTGCCTCGGCTCGGCGAAGTCTCCGTAGTCGTCGGACTCGGACAGCTCGGCCTCGGCCTGGACTCTCTGCTTCTTCCTGGCGTGACGGGACGCGCGGCCGGGGCGCTCCTGGGACGCGCCGTCTTTCTCCAGGGTCAGCGTGGGCTGTGGAGGGAGGTGGGCCGTTTAGCGGCGGGCCGGGGGCACCGTTATGGCGCCGGCCCCCCCTTCACTCACCACACCCACCTGCACGATGCTGATGGAGGAATTACTGACCGCCGAGTTCTCCTGAAGGTCGTCGAACTCATCCAGCCGGGCTGACACCACCTGCAGGGACAGAGCGGGATGCGGTCAGGGGGGGTCCCAGCCGGCCTCCGGCCCGCCGGCCACCCGCCCGGGCTCACCTCGGGGTGTTTGCGCCGCAGGTGTCGGTTCATGGAGGCGCGCGTGGACACCTTGGTCCCGCAGAGGTCGCAGGACTGCGCCTCCACCTTCTCGTGGGTCAGGTGGACGTGCTTCTGCAGCATGTACTCCGTCAGGTACTTCTTATCGCAGGTCGCACACGTCCACGTCTTCCCCACTGGGGCGAGAGGCAGGGGGGGGGGGGGGGGTTCAGTCGGCCCGCAGAGACACAACACAGCGACGCCGTAGGCCCCAGCCAGTTGATAGGCCAGACCCGCGTCTCCCCACCAGCTCCTCCACTAAACGGGACGGGCCGCACCCCTCTGAGCTCTGAGGGCCGATGAAAGCCCAGAAAGCGTGCCTGGAGGAGCCGGGAGGGGGAACACTGGGAGGGCCCGAGGCTCTACTCCACCTCAACAAGCAAGTTCTCCAGAAATAACAAACAGGGCTAAATTATCAGTGCTCTGGCCTCGTGCAGATTTGGGCTCTCAGTGAGATTTCTTTAACCATGAATCACACTTTTAAAATCATGGGTAAAAAGTCTGCAACTGTCTGAAATGTAGGCTCTCAATGTATATTCAGATTTTACTAATGTTCTTTCCCTGGACACACAGGTTACCGTTTACCGTTTGCTTTGAAGAAAAAATATTAATCACAACCAGACCGAAGCAAAAGTTATTTGCTTGATATAAATGTAAATTAGTTTTTTTCCCCCAATTTTATTTAATGCACCTAAATCATGAATTCTTATCACCTTTGTATTTTTGAGCAGCACGATGCGAACTCAGCAGCAAAGAGGCCGACGAGGTGAGAGGTTTGTGGGTTTGTTTCCACAGCAGGACAAAATAAGTAACTGACCAGGTCCAGGCCCCGGCCTGACTCCGGACACCCACCTGTGTGGATCAGCTTGTGTGTCTCCAGCGTCGTCCTCTCGCTGAACGTCTTCCCACACAACTCGCACATGAAGTCCTTTATGCCTGCAGACACGGAGGCGGGAGAACCGGCACACAGTGGTCCAAACGCCGCTGAAACGTGTGTGTCTGTGTGTGTGTGTCTGTGTGCGTGTGACTCACCTGTGTGTCTCTTGTAGTGTTTCAGCATGTTGACCTTTTGGGCGAACTTGCGGTTGCATTCCTTGCACTCGTACTCTTTGATGCCCTTGTGGAGCTTCATGTGGTGCCTCAGGGCGTGTTTGGTCTTCATGCCTGCAGAGGGAGAGAGCGGGAGCGGGCGGAGTGAGCCACGCGCCGGCTTCTAGACGAGCCCGCGGTGAGCAAAGAGGCCGACCTTTCCCGCACTCGGCGCACAGGTAGTCGCGGTTGTCGTCGTGGACCCGCAGGTGCTCCTTCAGCATGTCCTTCCTCGCAAACGATTTGCCGCAGGTGTCGCAACCGTGGCTTTTCACCCCTGGTTGGTGGGAGAAGAGGCAACCCTAAGTTTCCTTCCATACTTCATAGTAATCTCTTTAGATAGCCGTCACTAGATCTATTGGTTGTAGGGCTTTTTACACTTTAGACATGCTCACCAGTGTGGATGATTTTGTGCCTCTCCAGGTTTCCGATGCTGTTGAAGATTCGGCCGCAGATCTCACATGGGTGGATGTACCTGCAGGACAGAGAGGGAGGTTACAGCCTTCCGCTGACCCCGCCCCCACCCCTCACAACGCCGCCTTACTTCTGCACGGCCGGGTCGGGCAGCTGCTCCCGGTGGATGACCAGGTGGGCGTTGTAGGTGGCCTTCAGGGCGAAGCGGCGGTTGCAGATGCCGCAGCCGTAGCCTTTCTCCTTGTGCTGCTCCATGATGTGCTTCAGGTACTCCTTTCCCTTTGCAAACGACAGCTGGGCCCACAGAGAAGTGGGGGAGATAAATAAAAAAGGTGTCACGGGCCGCTTTGGGTCACTCTTTAATCACCCAGCCTTTGACTCTTTGCCCGCCCATCTAAAGGAAGCCTACTTGGCATTTCTTGCAGTTGTACTTGTGGTGCTCGGGATCATCCTCCTCATCCTCATCGTCCGTTTCGTCGCTGTCGTCGGCTGAGATGCCGATCTTCTTGATGAAACCCTCTCTTTCCTCCTCATCCATCAAGGCGATGTCCTGAAACCAGAGGGACTCTGCTCAGGCTGTGAGCTGAAAACCCGTGGAAAGTCCTCCTGTTGCCCATCTGTTCACCTTGAAGTGCACGTGGATGTGATCTCTGAGGACGTCCACTCGGAAGAACTTGCGGCCGCAGATCTCGCAGGTGTACTTCTTATCGCCGTGGGTCAGCAGGTGCTTGTTCATGTTACTCCTGCAGGAGAAGACCTGAGCACACAGAGGCCCGTGAGCCACAGCCCCCCCGGTGTCGCCGGGGGGGGGGTGGGATCTGGGGCTCACCTTTCCGCAGATGGGGCACGGAGACGGCTCCTTCCTGTACTTGGTCCCTTCTTCTCCACTGGCCTCCAGCTCCTCTTTTTTCAACTGTTTGGGTCCTATTCAGTTCAGTTCAATACGATTCACTTTAGTTAACAGACAGTTAAAGTACACCATCAGTGACAGCTGCACAGCCACTGAGTGAAAGTCAGAGGACAGGATGCGGCGGCTGAATGGTTTGGGGTGCTGTTTTCATATCTTAGTAAGAACTTAGCTGATGATGTCACTCGGTGTTAACGAGTGACGGGGTTCAAATATCTCAGAAACAGCTCTGTGATCCTCCTCCTTTACTCCTCCTGCTCTGTCCGCCTGGATATTCTCAAAGCTGAGCAGAGATTAACAACACACCCTTCTACGAGCAGAAAAACTACGCCGTTGTAACCATTTCTGCTCGTTTGGGAAGCTGATACGCCCTCTGAACACTGAAAAGCACCATCTGTAGGGGGGGGAGCCTGTGGGACTCACCCACGCTGTGCCTCCGGTGGTGCTCCTGCATCACGTCCTTGCGGTAGAACATCTTGTTGCAGATCTCGCAGGAGTAGAGCTTCTCGCCGTGCTTCTTCTTGTGCTTGGAGAGGTTGCTGTTGGTGGAGAAGAAGCGCGAGCAGATGTCGCACTTGAAGGTCTTATCGTCTGCGGACGGGACAGAAAACACCGTCATCCACGGCGGGGGGGGGGGGCTGCGATCCCACCCGGGTGCCGGAGCCCACCTGTCCGGCAGTTGTGGAACTTTAAGGCATTTTCCAGGCGGAAGGATTTCTCGCAGGTGTTGCATTTATACTTGTACTCTTGGTCGGGCTGTTGGGAGCAGGCAGAGCCACAGACGTGAAGCGGCAGGGGAACCGGAGCCTGGGGGGAACAGATCTGAGAGCCACTCACCGCCGTCTTGCTGTGTTTGTATGAGATGTGCTGCTTCAGACTCTCCTTGCGGCTGAACAACTTGTCGCATTCGTCGCACTTGAACAGCTTGTCTCCTGGGTGGACACGGGAGGGAATCCTTTAACTCGTTCCAAACGCATATGAGGTGTGGGACTGAGAGGCAGAAGCATAGCGCTGCGTGGGACGCACCGTGCGAGCGGATGTGGCGGTTGAGGTTGCTGCTGTTCTGGAAGACCTTGCTGCAGAGCGAGCAGCGGTACACCCTCTTGTGCTCTCTGGGTTTGTGCCTCTTCAGGACAGCCATGTTGTCCGGAGCGCACAGCAGGCCGCCGCTGTCCACCGCCGCCTCAGAGGACAGCGGCTGCGGGCTCTCCATGGGGGGCTTCACATCTGCACACATCAGGAATTTTATCAAAGCGGATGCTAAAAACAAGCCATCTGCCCAAAGCGCTGATGGTGGTTTCTAATTTAAAACTGCACAGAGACTTAAGACGTTAAAGGCCATTTCTGAGAGTGGGAATTTCACACAGAGCAGTTTTTGTCTCAGTTTGCAGCAGAGAAGCCGACTGACTAATAACATCCTCCTCCTCATCAAAAGAATAATCTGTGCTTTCTGGAAATATGAGCAAGAATTTCAACAAATCCCACAGAGATACAGTTTTTAACAAGTAAGTCAATCTGAACTCACAAAGGGACAAAATTTAAATTTCAAACATAAATATTTATTCATTTAAGTGTTAATTATTTCTTCCTTACATGTATTTCTCCTTTACTACAGTAATTTATCACTATTTTCATATCTTTAACTAAAAAATATGTTTATACAGTTATTTTCTGTTTTATATCCCTTTTCAGCTTTTTGCTTCACCATTCGTGTATATTTTTTGTTTCCTTTATTTTTGGGTATATGCCATCCATTTCACTCAGCTAATCTGAGGTCTGGTCACCATGGAAGCAGGGAAACCCAGACATCTTCCTCCCCAGCTCCCACTGGTCCAGACGGGACACATCATCCCTCCACCCAGTTCTGGGTCTTCTCCCAGTAGGGAGTCTGGAAAACCTCCCAAAGGAGGCCTCCTAACCAGATCCCGGAACCGTCTCACCCCCCCCAGCTCGGGCCAAGAAAATCTGCTTCATTTGACCACTTTTTAAGCCCGACCAGTTCTTTTCTGACCTCTGTTCCTGGTGGTAGCGGCGGCTGCCCCGGGCCTGCGTCCCCTGGCTCTCCTCGTTCGACTCTGGCCTTTCCTGCTGGCAGGCTGAGCTGCCAGGGGGGCCCTCGCCTTCACTAGGGGCTCAACCGGGCTCTCGTCCTGGGGCAGCAGCGGGTCGACAGGGAGCACGGTTGCCATTTTCACCTCGTTAAGCTGACTCAGCATGTTTCCTGTAGCGGACAGAGAGGAGGCGGATGTGTCAGAGTGCGCAAAAGGAAAAATCTGAGAAATGCCAGAGCCGATTTAAATGGTCGAACCCTCGCTGTCGTCAGCCAGCGGGGACAGGTGGACTCCGCTGTTTTCTGAGGTCTCGACTTTAGAAGAATCTGTTGTGTCTGGCGTAAAGACAGAGAAAGTTAAAAGTGATCCAGAGGCACTTTGCCACAGAAACTGAGCTGCAATGCCCCAATAAATCCACCTGGTGGAGGTAGTGGTGGTTGGAGCGGAGGCTTTAGCACCGGTTTCTCCATCTTCTTGGCATAGAAAGCTCCATACCAGACTCTCAGCTCCATGCCCGGCAGCACATCCTGGAAAACACATATCAGAGGTAGAAGGTCACAAACACGGTGCATTATGTGGTTATTCCTGATAGGGGAGGGAGGGAGGGGTGGGGGGTACCTGTGAGGTGTTAAAGTAAACATCGTCGTCCTGCTGATAGGCCGTCAGATTCTGGTGCTTGTGGTCGGTGGCGGGACGCACCAGCATCATCCAGTTGCAGTCCTCCTCATTGCTGCTGTCAAAGCACACCACCACACCATCCCTCTGGAAGATCTGCCCACAGGAAGATAGAGGATTGGTTAAGAAAAAGGAGGTCATCGTTCATAGCTGCACCACTCCTTAAGAAACAAACACCAGGAGTCATCAGTCTGCACCTTTAGAGGAAAAACTCCCTCCTTCTCCAGAACCAGGACCCTCTTTGCTTCAAAGGGCCCAAACCGGGTCCTCTTCACCAGCCGACGCATGACGAACACCCCCTCCTCCCCATTAGACACCTCTCTGATCTCCAGACTGTTCGGCAGAGACGACCTGACAGGAGAATAGACTTAGACTTTATTTATCCCTTGGGATTACTCATTCAGGGAAATTCTGGTTCCAGTAGTTTATGGGGAGAGTCAAAGCAAGATGCCATTGAAGATAAAAAATACAAAAGATCATATAAAAAGAGTGTATATGGTATATGGTATGGTAAAAGTTGTAATGACCAAAAAAAGACCCAAAAAAAGTAAGAACCAAACTCACGCAAAACTTTCCACAAACCTAATTCACAACAGTATTCATTTCCTCACCGAGCTCTGCTGAGGACGAAGGAGTCCTGGACGGTTACCAGGGGCCCCAGTTCTGGACACTCGGAGTCATGGTACTGACCACAGTCCTCACACCCTGAGAATAATTTTACATCCGTTCAATTTCACCAAAAATCATAGTCTTAAACACAGAAGGAGAGTAAACATAATACTTCATAATATCTGTCCAGTCACAAATTGTCAAGCATACAGTGCAGTCAGGGATGGATTCATACTCACAGATGTATTCATCTGGCATCTGTTCGGCCATCATGATACCCTACACACAGGGAGAGGAGTTTATTTTTGTTTTTAACATGAAACAAACTGGGAGGTGATGACATTCTGGCAATACCGACTTCTAATGTTCCTTTTTTATGATGGACTACTTTCAGTGAAACTAAATTGAACTTCCGAGCCTCCTTAACGTTTAATGAGAGGCTTTTCATCTGTACCTGAACGCATCAGTGCTCCTGACTAAACAGCAGGATGATATGGCAGCCAAACACTGCTTATCGGTTTCACAGATAGAGCGGTACATTAAGGTCTGCGGGGAGGCTAAGAGATGGGATCCAGGATTTCAGTCGTTCCTAAACTCTAGCCGGGTTTTAACTCCGATCTGAGCGGGTTCCTCTTCACTAAAATGTAACAAAGAACAGTCGGCATGGCGGATGGACCGGAGACGCAAGCCTCCAAACCGGAGTCGATGCTTTTTAACGCCGGGCAGTGAGCTAAGGAGGCGGCCAAGAGAGAGCCGGGGCGAACCGGCCGGACCGGCTGCACCTCCACTACGAAACTGTGGTGCCATTTTGCGGAAAACTTTAGAGCATTTGCGAGGACAGACGTTACCTTTTCTGCAAAACACCCTTCATTTATCGAGTCCTGACTCCGGGTTCCAATCCGCTCCAGAAACGGCGCAGGACCGGAAGCGCTCTGTAACCAGTGCATTATGGGACCTGTAGGCCCAGCTGATCCGCTTTAAAACAAAAAAGTCGGACGTTACCGAGAAAATTTTCCTGTAATAGATTTATTGACAACAAAATGCGGCGAAAAGTACTAAATTACCTCAAAAAGTTACTTTTTTGCTCGAGGTAAAATAAAGCCAGTTCTTTCACTATATGGAGTATTATGTTTATTATCGTTCTTTGAAATCATCTGCATTATGAGTACTTGTACCATTTTGGTCCCATGAGGTCATTCACATTTAGATGACAGAATCATCCATAATACTACACATCCTGCAGCCATTGTATTGGTGTTATTATCAAATAACGCACATAGCTGTATTTTCGTGGTACCTTTATAATTATCAGAGATGTTTTGTATGTGATGACCATTTGTGTTTAGGGTTATTCAAACTTATTCAACTATATTAAAAAAATATTCTAAATGTAGATAATTTTCTTATACAATTAAACAGATTTTAAAGTTCTCAAATTGAGTTATTTTCATTTAAGAATTAAGAAATTAAGAAATGAGATACAGCATCTGTATCTACACCTGCTTTACATTTAAAAGAAGAGAAGAAAACAGGGATGCAATCCATATTAAAAACAATGACAGACACGTCGCCAGTCTCAGTTATTCACTCATTTATTGCTGCGAATGAAATCTCTCCACTTGTGTTTTAGTTACAGTTCCTGCGGGGACATTCTGCAGCATTTATGTCAGCCGGTTTCTGTGCACAGAGCAGATGCCTAACATAAGGAAGCAGTTTAATAATCACATACGGCTCTTATCCTGACCGAGTGCAGCACAGTAGCTGCTATGTGGAGCCTGTAACAGCAGCTCCGGAGCTGAGGGTGACCCAAAAGACCCGTTTTCCCTTCCATTCTTCAGGGTGAAGGTGTTTCCATTTGGATATTCAGGACAGATTTACAGTGCAACCACGTATGTACCAGGACACTGTCACCGGCACCGTTTCTGCAGAAAAAGTGTTCTCACTTTTCAGATAGTCTAATAATGTAAACACTCAGTAAACAGATATGTAACGTGCATAGGCTTCTCGATAATAGATGCGCTAGAGGATGGCAGATGTCTCTCAGAGCCACCCCAACAGCTCTCAGGACTGTGTGATGAAGGATGTGACCTCAGGACCAAGTCCGGAGCAGCCGTGACATCATGCTCAGAGAAACCGTAAGGCGATTTTGCACTTCTGTCACTGCATCGGTTCACTGAGCAGAGCAACTTCCCTACAAAACAGTAGTTCAAAGGAGGCACAGAAACAAGCTGCTCACACAAAGTACAATCATTAGCTGGATAAAAAAAGAGAAGAAAAGCAGCCAGACTATTTCCAAAAGCCTTGCTTTTTGTTCTCAAGCTACAAGTTTTAAAACCAATAAAACATTAAAAGACAGAGAGAAGAGTTTCTTCCATTCAGCTAAATTGGGAAAACACAACTAGGGCAGAACAAATTGAATTAATTTAACAAGTATATGTAAAATGTAGGTAGTGTCACAGTCCCTGGATAAAAGGTCCACTCAGTTCCCTTTTGACACATGAACAACCGCCTGCTGACAGCAGGACGTACAGAAGGAATCTCTTCGGAAGACAAATAGAAAATAGTTGGTTGCCTAAAAAACACTGCAGGAAGCTCAATTAATCTGGCTTCTTCCTGAAAGTCTGCAAACTTATTTTAATGAACAATGCTGCATGACATCAGCTCATTTAGCATGTTAACTGTGTTTGACAGTTTTTAGAAAGAGCTTTCCGAGTATTTAGATCCCCACTTTTATCCCCAATTTTCTTAAACTGTTCGATATTTCTTGATCTCTTATTGATACACTTTAATAGTGTAGTCTGATCCAAGGATAAAGACTACAACATTATACATGGGGAAAAAAAGTAGGAGTCTAAGGACTCAGAGTCCACCAGATCAATATTAAATATATCATAAAGTCTTATTTGGAACACATTTAAAATTTCTTAAAACAACTTATTTAATAAAATTAGTGTCAAAGTAGTCGTGTGATGATGTCACTTGGGCCGGATGTGCGGTGAAAAGAAGATCTTCCTTTCAGGATGTTTCTAACATGAAGAACTAAAGAAAAGTCTGTTTCACATGAGCAGCTGCCGTCATTGCACTTTAAACAAAAGCTCATCAAATTGTGCAAATCATACAAACACCAGTCTGCTCTTTGTCTTTGGTCCTGTTGATGCACCGCAGCAAACGCACGGTTCACAGCAGGGAGGTAAAGAGGGATAACCCATGCCAGTCCCTTCTGCCCGTGACGGGGTCATAAAAGCACTTAAGATGTCAAAAATGTTGCATGAAATCAAATAATGAAGGAAACTCGATATCCTCTGAAAAGCCGCCAGCTCAGGACGGGTTACCTTTCTTGCTTGTTTTTGGAGGAATTTCAGCTTTTTTCTGGGGTACGGCCTTTTTCATCTGCTCAGCCTTCCTTTCACAGTGCAGGCGCCCCGGTATGCAGGACGGGCTTCAGGGGGAGCGGGTTAGCCGGGATGCGTGCCAGTGCAGCTTCTGAGGTGATGATGGTAGCTGTGGAGGGGACTGTGAAGGGCTGTGTGGGGGGGGTGGTCACAGGTGGGGCTCCCCTATGGAGGTAGAGCCATTAGCTTTGCTCTTGCTCTTTTTCTTGCGGCTAAGCATGCGGCTAAGCGTGGCCGTCCGGCTGGCGCGCTCCACTCCGGCCGGAGACTCGAGGTAAACCAGGTCATTGTGTGACTGGCTCATCCCCGGTTCTTTGCGCTGGTGGCGCCGCCGGAAGAAGAGCTTGGCGCTCTTCTGAAGGAAGCTTCCTGTCGAACAAAACACCAGAAGAGGAGGCGGCTTTTAACTCTGCCTGAGACAAAGGCTCAAAATGACACCAATCAAGGCTAAGGGGGCGAAATAAATCAGCAAATACGTGAATCAGGCATTACTGCTAATGCTCTGAAGTATCTGAAGGAGCAAGACAAGGAGACGAGTGAAGCAGCAGCGGCGCAGAATTCGTGTTAGTTGGAAATTGATATGAGTGAAAAATCTTGCATGGATTGATAAGAGAGAAAAAAACAAAACAAGCATTTTTTCCCCGATTGTGGTCATTTAATCACCAGCTAACACATTTGAACTGGGAGCATATTCTCAAGCTGTGGATTAGTCCAGCCAGTCCCAGACATTCCCACAGAACAGGCTGAACAATATATCACACACGCTACATGTTTTCCATGAATTTCACGCGTGTGAAGAAGCCAAAAATGTTCGCAGTGCTTTGGCTATATTGGTCAGCCCACAACAGCAGCTCTGAAATAAAGACCATAAAATGTAAGTGACTTCACAGAGACAAAAGAATGAATCTGGCATTCGGGGAAACTAGTGCTTTCTGCTCTATGGCTAGAAAAAAAACTACAATTACCAGAGTACAGACGGTGCTACATGTAGCTGGTGAGGCAACAACTTACTCATCAGGACAAAATGTGTGCTTAGCACTGCTCTCCTCTAAGATGGCAGTGGTGAAAGTTCAAAAAGGAAAGATTCAAACAGTAGGAAGAAAAGGGAAAAAGAACACAAAAAGAGACTGAATCACTGAGGAGAAACATCCAAACACATAAAACTGAATCAAAGCACAAATGAAACCCTTAAGACTGGAGACTGGACTCTGGGCTGTCCATCCGCCGCCAGAGCGCCCCTTTGTGACCTCTCACCTCTGCTCTTCTTGCAGCTCGCCTCAGATACACACATGGAAAGCGAAGTGTGCTCCAGCTCCTCTCCGGTTTGGCTCTCCCAGTCGTCGGGCGGCCGGCCGTCTCCGCCTGGACCTTCCTGGGGCTCAGACGTATCTGGAGGGCTGCTGGGCCCTGATGCGATGGCCGTGGTCATATCCTGGGTCGAGCTGCTCTCAGACATGGAGGCGTCCATGGCCGCAGCATAGCCCGCCATCAGAGCCAGCTCGTCGTCCTGAGAAAGGGGAGTCTGGGAATAGAGCACGTCTCCGTTTAAAAACATTCCCCCCTACATGACGCGTTTGGAGGCAAAACCACGAGGCTCAGGATGGCGTGCGTACTTTGGCGATGCCTGAGATGATGATGGTGCTCTTCTTTACCGGGGACTTGAGCTTCTGCTTGGCGGAGTGGTGGAGCTGTCTGATGGCTGCTTCAGCCACCGGGTCGGTTCCGTTGAGCATCAGCAGCTCGGTGTCGGAGGAGGACAAGGCCTTGCTTACGATGCCCCCCAGCATGGACGCCTGCTCCGAAACCCGGCGCTCAGCCAGTTTAGGCTTGCTGACGCCCGGCTTCTGGGCGGGATCTGAGAAGACACAATCACATCGTTCTACACACTGGAGCTTTAATCCTAATAAAAGTGGCGCTCAGTCAGTTTAACATTAAGACAAAAGAGGAGCAAACAGCTGTATATATCCTGAAAGAAATACTCAGGTTGACTTGTGTATGCAGTGCACGACTTTTTATAAATTCATCCAGACTGCTTTCCACACAGGAAAAACGGTGGATCAAGTTCCCTCTTGCACACATTCCTTCCCCCCTGGGAGGTATCAGCGTCGTACCGATGCTGATAGGGAGGGGTCGTCCTGGTTTGCTCTTCACTGCTGTGATGGTGGTGACCACGGTGCCACAGGGCATGACCGTGCGGTCCATCTCCACCCTCTTATTGGAGGCCGGGGTGGGAGTCTGCCATGACCTCACCTCACTGGGCTCCAGGTAGGTGAACTACGGAGTAGAAATAAAAGTTGAGATTTGGTTTGAATCCACAACTCTGCCTGATATGTTAATATCAAAGGTGGTATGGACGGCCTTACGTCGGTGGTGAGAGAGCCGGTCACCACGTCTTTGGTCATGAGTGAAAAAGTTTGCTGTCCTTTGGGCTCCTTCTTCACAAGATCAAAAGGCACCGACACCTGACCCAGTAAGGACTCTGAGAATCAAAGGAAGAACTCATGTGAGTGGGTTGGGACATAAATATGTGATAGCTCCAATGAAAGCCTCAGATTTCCTTACTCTCTGCAGGTTGTCCGTCGTCCACAACCTGAACATTGAGCTCTTTTGATCGTCCATTCAATTCACTGGGGAAAGAGTTTTAGCCATACTTTTGCATTTTGGTTATTTAAAAAACAGATTTCTGCTAATTACGGGATGAAAAAGCAATCAAACGTACAATATAAAGGGCTGGTCCCAGGCAGGATTGTTGGTGTTCTTCAGAACCGAGGTGTTAAACCTCTGTGAGGGGTCGTCTAACTGCAGCACACACAGAGGATTCAAGCTGCCTGTAAACACAGCAGACACACAGTTAATAAAAAACTCATTTCTAACCTGAAGGCTGAACAACACACAGTCCAGAGATGAGCGTGTGGAGGATTAAGAACTGGGCTGAATCCTGTGAGGACATCAGCCGAGTCATCACAGAGAACACCATAATGTGTTAAGGACTCAAAGCAGTAATCATTCATCAAAACCCAGATGGGTGGTTTTTTCTCTCATCTGAAGGGATTCAGAAGTCCTGGGCTGTGCCGCTGAGCTGGGTGTGGTGTTTGTGATGCGGGTGTACTATTACTGTAACATAATGCTGTTTAGGTCAGGGAGGTAGATTACAGATAAATCTCCCTGGTAACTGGAGGAGGCACGCAGTGGATGAGGCTGCCAAATACAGGTCTGAGATGTTGTTGTTGAGATGTTTCCTTAACTTGTCAGAGAGGGAGGACAACCGACCTGGTTCGATACGAGCAGCAAGCACAAACACAAGGGCAGTCACGTGACTAACCTGCAGCATCCTCCTGATTGAGTGTGACCCGGATGTTTTTCACAAGCAGCTTCCAGTCGTGGGCTCGGGGGGGCTTCGGGGGTGACATCACTTTTGCATGAGCATCCTATGAGAGGACCAATGGCACAGAGGGGAATAACAGCTTAATGACTACTGATAAATTCAAAGATATGTCATACACAGGTAACACAAACTATATTTGAGATCTCTGTACTAAAGATTTTCTTTGATAAGCATTTACAATAAAGAAAATCTAGTTCTGAAAACGGATAAAGACCTCTGAACAGACCAACCCTGCATACAGACACTCCCCTCGTCCCTAAGGCTTTGAGCTCATTATGAGCACCAAAATTTTGCATTAAAGTACATCTAATGCAAATTTTTGGGATAATTTGCATAAGTGCAAACACTTAAACGCAGTAAATGCTGAGTCTTTTTAAAGCTGCATAGATTGATTTGGATTGAGAGCAGCTCAGGCGATCAGTGTTTGATCATTTTAAAACAAAGATTATTCAGCAAAACAGCCGATGACTGATGGTGCGCCGTTCAGCTAAACTGTGAGCGGAGAACAAATTAATCAACGCTTCCTAATTACTTCCTCTCAGATTGACGGCTTATTTCTACTAAAACATTTAAACGATTAATTTTACTTCACTCAACAAGGTTGGCAAATGCTTTGGTGTAAGATCAGACTGATTTCTGACCCTCTGGGAGACTTTCTGATGCTTTTCATGCCGTACTGCGTCATGCTTATTCTGCTGACTGTCTCTACTGTCCACAGAAATGCACGGTGCACTCAAACATTTGGCGTGACATCATGTGATGACTAACTAAAGAACACCAGAAGGAAGCGGCTTTTCTCACACATGAGAGCACAATGTAACAAGCACTTACTGAGCAGATATGAATGTTGTACTTCCTCATTGATTTGTTTTCATAACTACATGTAGATTTTATTCTGTTAACTTGTGTTTTTATTGGCTGTTATAGTACTTCATTTTTCCATTTACTTAATTTGTTTGAATGTACTTGCAGTGCTTTGTGACTGAGCAAAATACCCCATGTGCAACAGCATAACTCTGTAATTGTAACCAAAAAAACGTTTTGGACAGAGAAGTGCAGCTAACAGTCTGTTTAGTCTGGTTGTGTCGCTCTCACCCTGACCTCTGAGGCCTGAGCAGGCCTGCAGCTCAGGAGCACAGAGGGACGCGTGGCACACAGCAGCCATTTCACCTGCTCCTTTACGGTGGCCGTGCTGTACGGGTCGGTGCCCTCCTGAAAAATAAAAAGAACCACAGTTACAATCGCGCTGCAGTGTCAAACTCAACATCAATTTCCACTTTTGGAGTTAAAAGAGAAACGTGTTCTGCCTCCTGTTTATTTTCCTCACGCATTTCATTAAAAGAGACTTTATTTTTTTTCATACATGTTTACCTCAACAGAAGCCACTCAAATCTGCAGTGAATGCTATTCTTTGTCTTGCCCCAAACCTCTCCTCCTTTTCTGACTAGCATGCTTCAGCTGATTTAAAGTCAGTTTTTCCTGATCACAGATTAAAACTTTTTAATATTCTTCTGTAGAAATATACAGATTTTCTATCAGAATATACAAAGGATTAAAAACAAAAAGCTTATTGAATGTTATTGAATACTTCCTCATTAGGTCTTCGACAACTCATTTCCTCTTTTTCCAAGTCTCAAGAAAACTTTGCTGCTGACTGACTGATTTTAAATTTACAGTAAGATAGAAACTGAAATCAGGCAGAACCTTTCGATTAGATAAATGTTCTGGTAAAAAAAAGATGAAGGCAAAATAATAATTACATGAATAAAAATCTAAATGACCTGGCCGAGATCGGACGTCACCCGCAGCTCCTCCGTGTCCAGATGAGAGACCTCCCAGCTCACCTTAACCTCATCTTCTGCTTCCTGTATGTGTAGGTGAAGCTGACAGAGACGAGCAAAAACATGCATTAGCATGGCGCTTTTTTTAGAGATATGACAAATTTTATTTAAATGTAATTTTAGCTTATCAAAACGTGACCACCATGAATGTGTGAATGTCAGATTTCCCACAGAATAATAACTACTGCACAAGGGAGCGATGTGACTAATAATGGACATCATTACTTCTGAAGTATTCTTATCTACCGTATGTCACCTTAGATATGACCAGTGACTGCATGACTACCTACATCACTCCCACAGAGGGTTTTAAAATAAAAAGCGAAAGGACCGACAAACAGACAAGGTCACCCTGCCCTGGCATGTCTGAATTCCAGCGTGGGACTCGACAGGCGCCTATCTGATGCCAAACAAAGGCCTCATCAGACGGCGAGGGGAATGCCTCAGTGCCAGAGGAACATTGTAGTGGAGGGCTCAGGGGCCGGAGACGGAGTATAGGGGAGAAACTAAGGCTTGTTCCTGCCAACGACAGCCCCAGGCTGTTGCTCAGAAACTGTTTAGGAGGTGAGCTTTTTGCAGGAAGTCTACAATGGATTCAGTCTCTTTTATGGTGTTTGGAAAAATAAAACAGCTATGGTAAACCTTTAAAACTGGCAAGTCTGAAAGCATGAACAATTTCTATTGATAAAAGAGTCTCGCAGTCTGAGGAAAGAAGGTTCCCAATTCTAAATGTCCAGATTTGAGGCCGCAGCTCCAGTACTTCAGTGCTCGTTCCAGCAGCTGACACCAAACCCATCATGTCGACAGGTTTGTTTCATAGTAAAATCTAAACCCCTGAAAAAGGTGAAACATCTTTGCAAATAGGACACGCCTTTGGTGTTTGTCTTTATCCCTCTGTCAGCTGAGACGGCCTCCCAATATCTGCAGTAAGGCATCTAAGCTGAGATGATTTGGACTGGTTCAACTTGTTTTTGTCCTTTTTAATACCAAAACTTCTAACAGGTTTGGTCCAGGCTTAATGAGTCCTCTCAGATGGACCTTAGTCCATCTACTGTTTCCCCCCTCCCCATTCATTCGACCTGCTGTGAACCTTATACAAGCCGTTTCATACATGAATATGAGACTGGGAGGATGCATGTGACCCGGGAGCTCCCCGTCACAAGACGCAGGTCATGTGATCCAGCTGAAGATTGTTTAAAAAATCTCTGCAGCACACCTGAGCTCGCTGGCTTTGGCCTCTGTCCACATATCCCAGCATTCACAACATGACAAACCAGGAGTTTTCGGGTTTCGATTTCGGTCAAACAAACGCTGTAGTGGGCAGATGGAAACGTTTGAATGGGCTCTCTGATTTTTCGAGACTAATCCAAAACAGAGTAAGTGAGAAAGAGGAAAGAAGCTTCCTTTATGGCTTTGAACAACAATGGATTCATGACCCCAACAAAACAAGGCACGACACGCCTGGCCTAAACATCCAGTTTTTAAGGCGGGCTGCATTTAAGGCACAATGAGTCAGGGTAGTGACAAGTACCTAATTTGCTTAAGCACAGTCTGAATGCCACAGGGGCAGCTTATATGGTCATTTAGAGGAGTTTGATCATGGAAAATATGAACAGGATAACAGCTAAAAAAAAGGGTTTAAACACAGCACAACAAATAGAAAAAAAAACAGAAAAACTTCAGCACTTTTAGTTCCACTTTAATTCAACCAAACTGCTGTCTCACAGACTCAAGTGGGCAAATATCCATAGAAATAATAAATTTAAGAGATCATTACAGTCAGACTGAAGCATGATAAATTGAACAAATTGCAGTAATTTCCGAGTAAGAACAGGGTCTCATTACTTATCTGGGTAATAACTATAACTGTGCAGTTTCATCTGTCCTGTGCGAACCTCTGAGAAAAGGCCTGACGTGGATATTTAACGAGCAGTTTGGGACATTTGCCAGTCACATTAAAGAACCTCCAACCATTAAATCTAATGCTGATGCCAGCAGTGAGGTAATGCTGGGCAGCACTTCATGTCCAATAAACTCTCCCATTAAACTGAACCACAATGATTTCCAAAGGAGGCAGCCTGCTTTCAGGGTTCTCGTCTTTAAAAGGAAATTTTACAAAAGGGGAAAAAAGCGGTGTAGTCTGACAAAATGTGCAGCTTTTTAGAAGATTTACCTGCAGCTCCAGAGGGGATATAGACACCGTGTATTTACACGGATCCGCCGTGGACACGGTGCTGACAGAGAACTGCAGCTTCTCTCCAACCACACTGCAGCGAGCGGCCTGTGGGAGGACAAAGTGGAGCATTAATGCAACATCAATCTACTGAGAATGTCAGCGCTGAGACAGTCACTGTATTCAACGTGTAGTTGTGTCCAAATATGCAGTGTCACAGGAGAGAGAAGATATGCATTATCACAGTACTTTTTAAAAAAAATCTAAGATATGTGAGACCCGAACATTTGAAGCTGCATTTCTCTTTAATTTGTGTGAATTATGTTACTCCTGTTTGGAGCCAAAGAAAAGCATTGTTTATGGAAGCCACCACATAAAGACTCAGAGGCTGGAACAGGCCATGCGTGGATCGTCAAACAGACTACTCAAATAAAGAGAAACATACTTCAGCCTGCACCACATGTGCTTCTATCATCAAAAGGCTTTGCTCTTAAATCGTTATTTGCTGTGTGTGAAAAGCCTTTTAAAGTCTCATTATTTTGTACTAATACATTAATCTTATTCCTTACAGAAACTAACAAGAGAAACCTCTGAAATAAAACCGTGGATAATTCTACACTAATCTCAAAGTAAGACTTTCTGTTCACACAGAACTCTGAAAAAGGACGTACATGTGTTTCTGACTTCCAAAGAAAAGCAGCTTTAGATGAACACTGTTCTTCAGTCAGTGCCTGACATCAGTACAAAGTGAAAAACTGAAGCTGGTTTCAGTATGACATCACTGTAAAGGGAAACTAAAACATAAACATAAGTGCTTGTGCATTCCTGTCCACCTGTTCCTCCTTAGCGCTAAGCTTTACAGCTATATAAGCTCCTTAAACTCACACACACACACAGCATGTGGGTAAAACTAAGCCTCTGTTCATTGAACTCAACAACAGCAAAACACCTGCTCTCCATCATGACCATCACAAAGGAAAGGCTGAGTTTGCATTGGGAGTGCCGACAAGCCAACCATGTCAGGAAACACGGCCAGCAGTTTGACCCCCCCGACCTCTCTGAAAAACAGGAGCACTCTGGTGGTGTTTGGTTTACACACATTCTGGGGCAGGTCTCCAGTCTCCGGTCTGAGGCGACTGATAAAGCAAGGACAAGGCCATTTCTTAAGCACAATTCATTCACGATGAGATTTGATTAACACTGTGAGCACAAGGAGTCCTGAAAAATGCTAAAGTGATTAATCTGGTGACTCTACACACAAGGGGGGACATGCCCTCAACAAAGCTGGCAGGCTGATGAGTCAGTGCTTGTCATTGGAGATGTTGAGAAGCTCCCTGTCTCCTGAACTACAGAACTAACTGATCAGTTCAACGGTGCGTGACATTACAACATTTTTACCTTGTTCGAGGCCGACTTCTGAAAGCTGGACACTTTGCTGAGCATCAGTTCTGATGCCTCGAGACCATCCTCTTCGAATTTCAACAAAACATCCCCCTGATGAGTGAAAAGGCAGAGCTGTTAAAGCAGCAACAGATGTTTTTCTCTGCAAAACTTGCATGTCTTGGAATGACATCACCATTAAGTGAGCGCACTGGATGTGTGGAAATATGTGTCCTGACTTGACAATTCCAAGTAACAGGACGTTACTCTGGAGTTTGATCATGAAGGCATATGTGAGATTTTGCAACTCAGGCTTGTAACAACACGCCATACTAGCTTCAGATGTCAAACACGGTACCGTGGCTGGCTTGGTGGTCATAAGACTTACCCCACGCGTCACGGACTCGTCGTTTAAAGCCTTGCACCAAGCTCCCCTCCATTGACTTTTCCAGCTTTTTAGTGACAGCGCCCATCCCAGCAGAGCAGCGCCTTCCTCCTCCGCCGCATTGTCCTCTACTGCTGCCTGTGTCGTCCCTACAATCCAATGCTGGAAGTATTGTGCGAAATATACTACCAGAGTAACCAGGGATGCAATGAACAGCGTGACCATGCAGAGCCACTGCGGGTCCTCGAAGCCAAAGTAGGAGCTGGAATTTTCCGAGTCGGACATTATTTGCAAATTGGCAGTGGTTCACACCTTCGTTGTGGATTTTCCTCTCATCACTAATATAGTTCTTTGGCTAAGGAACGGCTAAATCAATAAAGACAATCGCCTTTAACTGGTTACAGCACTCACGTCAACCCCCCTGTGTAAATTCTGCTTATCATTACCCATACTGTACAAAGCAGCTTTTAAAAGTCATACAGCGGTCCCAGTCTACGCAAACTGCAGGTAGAGACCTGGACCATTGTCAAAAAGTCCAAAGCGGCCTGGGTTCTAACAACCCAGCAGTAAAATACAGTCCTATCATTGAAAACGATTGTTAGCTGTTGGCTAATCTTGGCAGCGGTCCGCTAAAACTAGCTATTCCTCATTAGCTAGAGAGCCGTAAAAGTTTTCCAAAAATGCCTTATTTCCAGTGTTTGAAGTTAGAATCCATTGAACGACACCCATACGCGAAATAAAAGTCCAGGAAAAACATCCTGAAGGTGAGGAGCTCAGTTCGCCTGCTGGATTTGTTTCGCGGCTCAGTGTGACTGTACAAAGTTACCTTATAGAAACGGATATGTGGCACAAACTGTAACTCCCACAATGCAACGCGAAAACTACAACAGTTTCTTTTTTGTCAATGGTGATACGAGGTGACTTACATTTTCCCAAATAATGCTGCAACATTGGTTCTAAAGTTGTTAACACAATAAATTCTCTAGTCACAGATTAAAAATAAATTACGCGAAATTTAAAGTCAAGTGAAAAAAATACTCAAAGCAGGCGTTATGGACTACGTAACCTTCCGTAGATTGCCCCGCTGTCATCATGACACATATCTTGGCGTCCTGGTGAAGCAAATATCTAGCTAGCCCACTTTTGTTGAAATGTGTTTGCTATCAATGCTTGTACGTGTAACTGGGAGGCAAGGTTTCTAAACAGAAACGCTGTTTTGTCGTTAAAAACAGCTAAAAATACAGCGCTCGATAGTCTCCGCCCATTTCTAGAGGTAAACAAAGTATATCCTCGTCACAGGAAGACCAGCCGTCACTCGACTCAGTTTGTCTTTTGTAAATGGAAATAAGCTTAATTTCGCTATGAATTGTCGCTCGGAGGTTCTTGAAGTGACGGTGGAGGCGCGGCAGGTTGAAGAAGCCATGTTGGCCTTGTTACACACCATTTTACTGCATCGCAGCACCGGGAAGTTCCACTACAAAAAGGAAGGCACTTACTCCATCGGAACCGTGGGCACACAGGACATTGACTGCGACTTCATCGATTTCACCTTTGTCCGAGTGTCGTCAGAGGAGCTGGACAGGGTGATCAGGAAGGCTGTGTCTGAATTTAAGGTAATAAGGGGTTTTAGCATGTGATTGTTGACTGTCACACGACAGAGGCCTGTTATTTTGACCGGGCTGTGATGTCTGTTTTGGTTATAGGATGCTTTGGGTAACACCGGCAGCGACGGCATGGGACAGATCTCCCTGGAGTTCTACCAGAAGAAGAAGTCTCGCTGGCCCTTTTCCGATGAATGCATCCCCTGGGAAATGTGGAGCATCAAAGTTAACGTTGTCAACCTGGCCAATGAGCAGGAAAGGCAGATCTGCAGGGAGAAAGTGGGGGAGAAGCTGGGGGAGAAGGTCATCAATGTCGTGGAGGTCATAAACCGCCACGAATATCTGCCAAAGATGCCCACCCAGTCTGAAGTGGACAATGTTTTCGACACCAGCCTGAAAGATGTCCAGCCTTACCTTTACAAAATCACTTACCAGATCACCGACTCTCTGGGCACCTCTGTAAGCACCACCATGAGAAGGCTGATAAAAGACACTCTGGCTCTGTGAGCCCTCTGACGCAGAAGATATGGATCCTCCATCATTCTCTGTAGTAATATTTTACAACATAGGCTGTTCTCATCCCCAGATATGGCAGTATAACTACTTCTCTGAGGTCTCCTTTGATTCCATATTGTCCTGATATTTACTTTTCAATTATGTATTCTTTCTTTCATAGATGTTATGTTGGCGAGTTGTTTTCAGCTGTTCATCCAGCATAGATCTGTTTTTTATTTTATTTTAGAGCAATCACATTATACTCTGATTAGACCCCTCCACAGGTTGTGCTGCTGATTATGGCCTCTGTAAATTATTGTAGATTTTTAAAATAAATGTGGTTCATTGTGTGTTGTTTCAAGTCAACAAGAATTTTTGTCAAAGAGCAGTTAACGTCCTAAACCCTGTCCTCATAAAAGATAAGAAGCAGTCATATTTTCATGCCAAAGATGAATCCGAGTTTTGAAACAGATTTCCTCGTCCAAGTGAAAACTTCCTCTCTGGACGCTGTTTTATGGTGAGCTTGACCTTACACATGTGTAGGGACAGGATTTCCATTTTGTCGTTTTTCCAAATAACAGCAAACGCTTCCTAAGTTCCCTCCCTGGTTTCCAGTCAGAAAGTGTCACGGTGGCCCAGAGCTTGAAATGTACCCCTCAGGGTTATCTGCCTGCCAGCTGGAAAACGATGTGTCAGGTTACTGTGATTCTGTATGCAGTCGTACGATAATGACAGCCAATCCTCATCCTGTTCTAAGGTTTTGGCATATTAACACTAAAGAAAGTCATTTTCACCCCATTCCAAATCTAAAATACCCTAAAACAAAACACAGTGTTCAGATCATCTAACAAAACACACATTTTAAAGACACTCTTAACACCTTCCACAGGAATTTAGAGGGTAAGTTTCATTCTGGTGCTGATAATCAAGTGAATCTGATTACCGTTGACATCCAGCACCTCTGTAAAAAACAGAGGGTTTCTCTGTTTCCATTCTGGTTCATTCAGGTGTCTGTTACCGTGATGCCAAAAAAAGGAAAGACGTTAAGCAAATGTTGCTACCCATCAGTCTTAGAGAGGTTTTGGGTCAATTTGATTTGGGCTGGTCCTGCAGTCATTGATCTGACCATGAACTCTTCTTGATATCAAAGGATTCAACTGGGCAGATGTGAGAAAAAAACTGACTTTCATATTTAACTGCTTAATTCTAACTTGGTTTTGGTAAATCAAATGAGATTTTAACCTCACATATAAAACCTTAGAATCATGCTTATCAAGACCTTTATGTCTACTTTAAGCTTTGTTCATATTCAAAGTCAGTGGCCTTGGGGCCAGTAGAGTCTGATACTAATTCAGGAATTGTGAGTAAATAATTCCAACAACACAAATGATTGTGTGTATATATATATACATACATACATACTCCATCATTACTCTTTATTACAGAAGTGAAGCACAAAAACTGTAGAAAACTGAAACACAAAACGGCTGCAAATCTCCAAAAGCAACATTAATGCAACCAATGCTAATACAAATATTGATTATTGCAGTGGGAGCACAAGAATACTAAAAAGATAAAACTTCTGTTTACTAACAAAATTGGTACAAAAATCGAGAATAAAAACACCTCCATGTACACAAGTCTAATCATCTCTGTGAAACTATCAGAAAGTCTTTCCTCACAAGAAATTAAGAGCACTATTAGCAATACAGAACTTCTGCAAATTGTTTACCATCACAATGCAGTTTACACATCTCCTACAGAGGGAAAAAACTAAACTTTGTTGTTTGTGTGGAGCACTTCGAGGTCTCACAAAAGTCGACGGTCTGAGCAATCTATGACAAATTTTCTAATCCATCAAGCCAAAGCAGAAGTACACACTTGTACAAGAATACAGCTGGAATACAATCAAACAGACTCTTTTGTAATAAGTCTTTAGGAAGCAGGAACGCTCACGTCACTTTTCACAGAATAAAATAATCTTCTCGTGCTTCCATCCTCTCCACTTCGCCACCTCGAAATGCCTGAGTCACAAGTGGTCTGAAACTCCGTTGTGCTTTTGTGTAAAATAAGATCGAAAATATATATTTATCTTTTTTAAGTTGCATAAGGCCATCAAAGCTCTGTGAAGCATAATTCATTTTCCAAAAAAGCTCAAGTGCAAACAAGTTGTACACACAAAACTGCAGATTTTATGATTAAGAGACTGTGCCAACATGTGATAGACTGAATCTTTTCAATTTTAGAATAGTTTGGAAACCATAAATTTCACTCCTACTCACCAGAGCTGTTTAGTCGTCTGAAAGCCTGCCTGCTGTAAATATGCTGGTAATATTCCCCCCCCCCAATTTATGACTGTGGACAGAGCTGATCTATTTGTTCGTCCACCAGTAAATAATTCAGCAGGCTAAAAGATTTGGAAAGAGATGCCTGAAGTGATCAACACAGAGTGGGATGTGTGAGTTCCTTTCTTATCACACCTGGGGTCCGTCTGAAACAGCCCAAATACTCGCTGAAAGGCAGTAGGAGACTTGTTCATATCCCTTGGACGCTTCATGCACCATGTCTTCCAAAACAGAATCACACTGTTAAACAAAGTGCATATTGAATACATTTTTGAGGCCACCAATATTATCTTAAGGGATGCCACTCACACCAGAAGACAGCTCTAATATAAACGCCATTGAACCGTAAAGCACTTATCCACACTCTGAGATTACAACGTATACAGCTGTCCCGCCTTTGGCTGCACCTTTAAGTCCAACGTGGTGCGGCTGGGGAACAACTCTGTACCTTGTTATTCCTCAAAACACCTACTAATGGAAATATAAATAGATAACTAAAATATTGGAAAACAGATATATTCTTAGATATCATTTTGGAAAGAAATAGTGAACCTTTAGAATAATCTATTAGAGAAATCTAGCACTTGATTGCACATTCATGTTTACACTTATAACAAACATGGCCACTTCAAAATATAACATTGGAGGCAAGCAGATAAGCTATACATTCATGGTCTTGTTTTTGTAGGCTGAGGTGTGTTCATTCTAAGGGTTTACACATGGTTGTGACTCTGCTCGTGGCTCCACAGGCTAAAGGCCGTCTTGAAGGTTCTGTGGCAGAGTTTGCACATGTACTGCCTTTTGAACGTCAGGGCAGAGAGAGACGGCGCATGGTAAAAGAAAGTGTCCGATTCATGAGGGCCGCCTGGGTTCTCCATGCTGTTTGATCTGGACAGAGGGCTGCGGCTGCTGGATTCTGGCTCGGGCCCCTTTGTCTTGGTCACCGCTGAGCTGCAGCGCTCGGGGCTGCTGCACTCCTCCACTGCTGCTGCGGCCTGTAGAGCCTGGGCAGCTTTGAGCATGGAGGCCCGCGGGGCCGGGCGCTCTGCACTCTGGGGCGTCAGGGGGGGCGAGGGCGACAGAGGCGATGGATGCCGTTCCATTTCTTTGGCTCCGGGTTCGTTAGCGGTCGACATGTGGGACTGGAAGTGGCTCCAAAGGCGGAAGTTGGTCCTGAAAGCTTTGTTGCAGACGTGACAGATGAATGGTTTGATGTGGCACAGCAGCTCCTGGTGTCGTTCCAGGTCTTTGCGGGAGCTGAAGAGGCTGCCGCACTTCTCACAGGGCCACACGCCGGGCTCTTCGGGCCCTGCTTTGCCCGCCTCTGCCCCGTCCCTGTCGCTCACCGCTTCCTCCAACGGCTCCTCCTTCACCACCAGTTTACCGTGGTGGCTCATGCTCAGGTCCTCAGGCACATAGGATGAGGAGTCCTCTGAGTCGTACGTGGGTGGACCCGAGGAGTCGCTATAACTGATGTTCTCCCGGAACCCCCCCGCTGCAGCGGCGGCCTCGTCGCTGTATTGCTCTTCTTTGAGCATTTCAGGCATCTCCTCGTTGTTTTCTTGCTGCTTCAGGTGAACCTGGTCTTTAACAGTCATCATGTTTTGGTTGTGGACTTCCACCTGGTGGCGCCATATGCTGAAGGAGGACTTGAAGGTCCGCATGCATTCCAGGCACGTCAGTTTCTTGTACTTACAGTGTGCCTCGTGGTCCTTTTTGACAGCCGGACTGGAGAATCGCAGGCCACAGTAAGGGCAAACAGTTGCATGGCGGCAGCCTCTCTCGTGGTCGCCCTGCTCTAAGAGCGATGACAGCTTCATGTTACAAAGCCGACAGGAGTAAACACCACTGTCTGTGTTTTTCTGCTGAGTGATCTCATCCTGTTCCTGGTAGAGGATGCCCTCGCTCCCTGTGTCCTGCTCAGACCTCTCAGCAGGATGTGTCCTTAAATGCTGCCTGTACTGAGACTGGAACACAAACACTTTCCCACAGTAAGGGCATATGAAGCCGTTCCTAGATCTCTTTTTGACGAGTGAAGGAGGCTGCAAAACCTGCTTGTTCCTCTTCAGCTTCCAAAGCAAAGCCTTCTTTATTTCTCTCTCCCTCACGATATCTATCAGCTTCTTTTGAAATTTCTCGTCCAGCAGGGAGGAGCTGGAGGAAGATGCTGGGTTTTGTACGACCCCGTGCTGAGTCTGGCAGTGTGTCCACACTTTGAAGTTGGTATGGAAGCGCTTGTGGCAGATGTCACAAGCATACGGCTTTTCCGGGTTGTGGTACATATTTACATGGCGGTGCAGTCCGGCGCTGGAGCGGAAAACTTTCAAACAATTCCAGCATTTGAAAATCCTGTTCGGAGGCTGCTCCCCACTACTCTCATTGGGGCCACTGCTGGCGTGCAGAGGAACTGTTTTGGTCATGTTAGCATCAAGAGAAAGAGGGTGCTCTTTGAAGAATTTACTCTTCTTGAATGGGTACCTTCTGTTGTCCGGCCTGTCCCTTCTTTTCCCTGAAAGACTGAAGTCCGCCCTGGAGCCATGGTCGTAATTTGTTTGCAAGTCTTTGAGGTTGACTGGCAAAGCATCTCCAACCGTGATCCGGATAATGTCCATGGGGTCAGCGAGTGGACTGCTAGGCTCCGCTTTTACATCGACATCTTCTTCTACCTGAGTTTCTTTATCATACCTGCTGGGGAAATTTGACCTGAGAATCAAAGGGGATGCTCTCGTTGAATTCCCATTATGGGCAGATGTTTCTAATCCAGGTGCTTTTGAAGCCATTCTAACAACTGACTGTTCTCGACATTGCAGCTCTTTGAGCTCCAGCGTGGGCGAGAAGACCGGAACAGGGCTGTCCATGGATAATGATCTTCGGAGAAGGCTTTTTATCAGGGGCCCGCTCCTGTCGATGGTCTGGCTGAGGTCACTGGCCGGACCCTGAAAGCGGTGTCCGAGCTCATCATTCTCTTCCTTTAGGTCCTGGTCAGAGGCAGCCGGCACCCTGATGTGATGGACCTCAGCATCACTAAAAGACACCGATGATGTCAGCTGGGGTCTGATGGATGTGATGCGTGAAGAGTTCCCTTTTAATATGGTGCTACAAGGATAATTGGGCTTCTTCTCTGAATCTTCCCCCTGTTCAGATGATTTCCTGCTTTTTTCCGACTTTTTAGCCGAATCATGAGAATTGTGTTCTGATGGAAGCTGACCAGCTCCTAGAGAAGAGTGAGGAGATGATGATGATCTCTCTGATGTTTTTCCCTGATAATATGAGTGAGAGGCTGCGGCTGTGTTACTCTGAACCCGACACACAATGACGCTTCTTGTGTGGAAATCATTCTCATCTCCCTCTGAGAATGAAAGCCTTTTTCTGGACACACAGTAGGAAGCATGTGGCCTTGTTGACACAATGTTAGTGAGAAAAGGGATTCCAAGGCTGTACCCCAGCTCTTGAATGGCTGCCAGGCTGCCTTTGTCCACAAAGAGTGAGGAGGAGTAAATGTAATTCAAAACTATCTCGAAGGCGTCAGGCTCGCAGAAGTCCAGATTCACAACTTTCAGTGACTCCGAGTCCATCCGTGTGAAAAGAGACTGGAAATATTCACTGCTGGCAGCAAGAACACTCTTATGGGCCTGGTACCTCTGATCCGCCACAGCCAGGACTACATCACACATTTGACCCCTCAGCCGCTGTTCATTGAGAACCCCCAACACTGAGAGTGCATGTGAGGGGTTACTGTAATGCACTAGGCTCTCCATGGCTGAAAGAAAAGAAATAGATATTTCACTGTAGGAATACAAACAGGAAATGAATGTGCAGACTGTGGGTTAGTTTTAATGCTTATGAGGTGGAACTGGTAAACACTCAAACTGCTGCCTGAATGCTGCATGGACAAAAAAAAAAGAAGACATACCTATGTTTTTTGTGGCTTAATATATTGACAGACAAATGAAAAGGGCTTGAACAGAGTTTACTGTAAAATTAGGCTAATCAATTATATATATATATATACACATGTATTTTAGACATCAGCGTCTTTTTTGCTCTACTTGTGAACCTCAGCAGAGGTTAAACATCTTTAATTACACAGGGGCATACTATCAGAATGAATTATATCATGTTAACAGTATGAATGTATGGAAATGCGGCTCTGTAAAGTCACCATCAGTGGCACAACACATGCAGGAAGTTGAACATTTTTCCACCCCAAAAAGTGAGTTCATGTCCTTTTTCTGACACCAGAACATGAAATTGTTTTCTCTATTCCCACCATATAAAATACAGTGGAAATACAGGAGATGTAGTGTTATGACTATACATATAAATGTGATAGGTAACGGCAATGTACATAACATAATATGCTGGATTATATATAAATGGCAATAATGATTTAACACAGGGGTGGGAAACTCCAGGCCGCTGTGCTGCAGGTTTTAGAGGTTTCCCTGCTTCTACACACAGAAAACACTTTTCTATTAGAAGATGTCTTCTAATTTTTATGAGAAGTTTAACATTGTAGTGCATGTTTATTCTGAAAACAGAAACCGGAAGTAGACTAGTTTTTCTGAGCTAATTGACCATTTCTATTTATGTCCAATGGAAGAAGCTCATTCATTCATTAAAAACTTAAAATAATTTGGATATCCCTTGTATAAACTTTGAATCGACGTTCGGGGAGAGGCAGAATATGCCACCGGGTTGGTTTTGCTCAGGGGGACGCCGAGCGAGGCTTTCGGCGTTAGCTCATCCGTGAGACGTGGCTCGGTTTCTCCTGTCATAACTTCTCCGACAAAAGCGTCGCGTTCCGTCTGAAACGCACGCGCATTTTCAGTGTGAGCGCGGGCAAATGGCGAAGCCAACGGTCAGTTCCAACCGCCCGCTCTGCTGTTACACCGGGGTCGCAGGACAGAAAAAGTTGAGCGCGTTTCTCGGGACTCCGCCGTAAATCACGGAATGAAAACACAGTCACGGCGCGGTCAGAGAGGCTCGCGGTGTGAGTGCACGCGCGCGCGCGTGCGTGCGTGTGTGCGGTGTTGGAGGGGAGAATGTAATCATTCTGCTCGCTAAAAGTCGTGTTTTCCTCTTGTTTCCTTCCTTCCATGCTAAATCCGGCTCAGCCCAGCCCGACTCGGCACAGTTGCTGGCTGCTAAACAGGTTGTGGCTGGTCAGGTTTAACAGCAGCACAATCCCCCTTTCGAGTTACGTCAGGGAGGAAAAGGAAAAAGCTTGTCCTCAACAGCACTCCGGCAGCCGTGTTTCACCCCCCACACTTGCTCGTTTTATTTTAGGGTAAGTTTGGTGTCCCGTCTGCACTTACCCGTTCCGTCGTGAAAACGGTCTTCCGTTCACGCAGCCAGGACTTTATTCAGTGTTGTGTAAATTTCTGCGAGCTGATCGTGATTCCATCCATCTTGAATTTGACGTCATCCCACACCAGGGATGAAGTCATCGCGAAGAGTGCTCGTCACGTGCACTGCCCACCGATTGGCTTGTGAAGGAGAAGGAGGCGGGACATACAGGAGAAACCGAGAGGCTAATTTAAAGGGACAGGCCACATTTCTTTCTGCTAAACGCATGAAAAATTTTGCTAATTAAAGTAATGCGCTGCTATTATTCATTTTGTTCTAATTTACAATCACCCTTTAAACTCTGAGCTACATAAAAATATGTTATCTATCTATCTATCTATCTATCTATCTATCTATCTATCTATCTATCTATCTATCTATCTATCTATCTATCTATCTATCTATCT